AGAGAAGGGGAGAAGAAGAAAAGGATGATGAGGATGAGGAGGACGATGGTGATATTGGCGATGGTGGTGGTGATGATTTTGTTTTTTTTTTTAACTTAAAAAAAAAATCTAAAAAAAAAAAAAGGATCGGACTAGTCGCGGTCAATGTGGATGACCACCCTTCCGATCCGAATGGTCACGCGGCGGACACTTCGTCCGCCGCGTCCGCCGCCACGATCCTCATCCTCGCTCTCATCATCATCATCATCACCATTGCCATCACGGCCGCCGCGACGACGACCGTGGGAATGGTGATGGTGATGGTGAGAGCGGGGGTGATGATGGTGGCGACGATGGCCACCATTGCCAGACCCCTCGGACTGGCTCTCCTGGGTGGAGCGGCGGGTCATTACCCGCACGCTCCGATGGCGTGAGTGGCCATCTCTGGTCTCTTCGGCAGACCAGCTGGAATAGCTGGTCTCCGTGGTGGAGGAGCTTCGACGACTCATATTGTCGTCGTCGTCGTCGTCGTTGGCTTCTTCGCCGTCAGATCTTTGTCCTCTATGGAGGACTAGCTGGTTGGCAGCGGAGGATTGATTGCTGCGAGAGGATTGGGGAGGGTTTTGGGATGATGAGAGGCGGGTGAGAGATGATGATTGATGGTTTTGGGAAGGAGAAGGTTGGTGAAAGGAAGAAGATTGGGAACGGTTGTCCTCAGCGAGAGCAAGTTGATTTGGTCGACCAGAAGGACCACGTGACGAACGGGAATTATGATTGTTATTATTGTCATTTATGCTCCCTCTGTTGCTCTGTCGACCGACGCTTCCAGCTACGCTCCCGTTGTCCCTGACAGATCCCTCTCTGTTTCTGCCGTTGCTGTTATTACCACCAGCACCTGCACCAGTATCCCATCCATTATTAGCTGGGGCAGCTGTGCCACCAGCATCTCCCCATCCATTATCTCCTGTGGTCGCTGCATTACCAGCGTCTCCCCATCCGTTGTCTCCTGGGGTCCCGGTATTACCGGTATCACCCCATCCGTTGTTTCCTGCATTTCCTGCATTTCCTGCATCGCCCCACCCGTTGTTAGCACCTCCACCGCCAGAAGTGCTACCAACCCTCGAACCGTTATTGGAGTTTCTTCCACTTCCGCCAGCATTGGCATTTCCACGGCTAGGGTTATTCCGTGCCCCGCTGTTGTTCGAACGGCGAGAGGCAACGGATTCTCTGTCCCCTTGGTTGCTTCGATTATCAGGAGCATTCGAATTTTGAAGGTTGAGACCTCTCAATCGGTCAGCCAAGGTTCTAGCGTTGGCACCCGAGTCAGAGGGTCCAGGACGGCCGGAGCCGCGAGGAGTGGAGGCGTTGGACGGCATGTTTGCTCTCTTGGGGAAAGCTATGCTACCGACAGAAGGAATCGGACTCTTGAAGAGTGAGCAGATATCGAGATGGAAGGATGGAGTGAAGGAAAGAAGTTGATAAGAGGATAGAAGAAAGGGATCGAGTCAAGAGGTTGAAGTCTTAGCTGAGAACGCGTCTTCAAAGACAGATGCTTTCGAAACTTGGATGTTGTGTGAAGCAAGGGTGCAGAAGAAAGTATTGAAACAGAGGAGGAAGGAGACCTTATCTACAGTCCTAGGGAAAAATACATTGACATATTGTGAAAATTTATTCCCTAGGGTTTGAAAAATTCGGGAAGTTGTGTCGTCAGAGCGGGCGATAGCGTATGTCATAATGAAAAATCCGTGATGGTGATATCACGATCTAGCACGGCCCTTCTACACTCTCTGGTGTCCGAAAACGAGCTCGCCCAGGACAAGCACTACCTGAGAGCATAATCATATGAGTTTGTGAACAAGTGAATTAACCTTGCACAGTACGGGAGTGCAGAGGTACAACTCTCTGAGAACGTGTGGTAGTATTGCACTCTACGAAATTTATTTCTTGCCGCCGAGGGCTACTACAATCCAACAATACAACTAGCTAGCGGCACTAGCAGACCGTGTAATTAATATAATGCCAACAAGAAAGAGCTGGACATATCGTATTGGTATACTCTCAAGCTGTCAAGCTGTCATGTCGACCGAAGACGTTGCATTTTGGAAGCAAATGTGTTGGGTGACACTAGATGTGTGCATCAGCCCTGTTTGGGAACATTAACTGGATCCTCGTAACTCGCTGCGTCGCGAAGACTAGACGTCGGTAAGAGTAGCTTCGAATCTAAGTGCTCGGAGTCAGATACGATGAGATATACTTCGGGAATGGTTAAAAGCTTATAGTTACATCTAAACATCTATAAATTCACAATACGCTAATAGCAATCCATCAAGAAGTCGTCTCGTCTCCGTCGTAGATATTTTAATCTCTACATTCTAATATTATATATTATGTTAGTCTCGTTCCATTGAATTTACAAAGCTATATACAGCCCTGTAAGCTCATTTTACGATGACATTTATCCGAAGCATCTCCCGCAATATATATGGCAGCCTAGACTAGGGCAGCCTCCCAATCATACTTCAATACTATAGTACTAATCTACTTTAACAAAGTCAGGCAATGGTGGAATAATTTTATATAGTAGATATCTAACAGTTAACAGTTCGTTTAAATATTTCGCCAATCTATCGCTGCACTCTCACTTTTGAGAGAAATTAGACAATTCGAATATTCGCAATGCAGTCGAAGCCGACATTCCGATCATTCGACTCACATCTTGGGTAACGTAACATGTTTCAGGGTTTTAATTGCGTTCAGATGTGTCTGCATATGGTTCCACAGGTCGCAAACTCGCGGTCCGCCCCAGGGTACCAATATAGCTAACCTCGCAGCAATTTAGGCTCACATCGCCTATAATATTTGTGACTGTCCCTAATACGCGTGGTTCGTGTTGCGTCACACTATGCATGGCTCTGGTATATGTAGTCTTACGGCTACTTAAGTAATTAGATAGCAGCGCCGGCTTCATCGATGGTGTCGACAGTATGATGTATTTGCATCAGTAGACCTAGTCTCGTATCCAGACGGTGTGCTTGCAGTAGACCTAAATAAAGGTTAGGCGAATTTGAGGCGGCCCGAACATTGAACTAGAAAATTGAAGATTGTAAGGCGAGTAAACTGCTTGCGGCAATCCAATGCAGTACTAGCGAGTTGACTTCGCCGTAATCCGTGCATTGGGTACCCCAGCCTTCCATTGTTATCGAAGATGCACCGAGCTTCAAACCGAGCTTCTCATACATTTCCAAAGATATCCCGCATTTTCTTGAGCTATAATTTCGTCTCGTAAAATTATAACCAAGTTTGCAGGTTCAAAAGGCTGACCAGTTTAGGTGATATTGCGTTGAATGAGAGCCCGTCCCACATGCACCTGCATATGCACATATCTGCCAAACCGGACATATTCAGATCTTTCCTCCAGCCAGTGTGGATCCAAATAACCTTGAACTCATCCAAACCATGATATCCCAATTCTTGTTTCAAAAAACGACCCTATTCTCATGCTACTGTAGTAGCATACTAGTAGAAGGGGTGGATAACCCGGCCGGGTTGTCAGATCGCTATATATATACCTGACGTCAGAGATGTGTTGACCATGTGGTCGTCGCTGTCGAAGGTTCCCGAAGCTTCCACCATCATCGACATTCCTGCGAGCGCGCTATGTTAGCCTGACCGCCCTTCAGCCCTTCGCGCTTTTAATCACCACTCGTTCTCTCCTTTCTTCCTTCTTATTTAGCTACGTATCCTCCTAACATCCACAACCATCAACAACATAACCGTAATCATCACCAGAACTATCACCATATTCAACTACTGGTACCTAACGCAGTTATAGTCACATGCGAGCAAGCAGACCTGTTATTCTAGGGAGTGCTTGAAGACTGATACGATCGTACCTAAGTCTAAATTGACAACATTCAGCAGAAGAAGACAGCTTGGTCTTCTCATAGAATATTGCCCTTCATAGAATTGCTTTATCCTTTACAGCTGGTGCTATTCACGTACTAAGCTTCTCCCACACCTTTACATCTATAACCCCACAATCACAATGGGGAAAGACTACTACAGCATCCTAGGGGTTCCTAGGACTGCCACTGAAGATGATATCAAGAAAGCATACAAGAAACTTGCTTTGAAATGGTAAGCTTCTGATCCCTCTGCTCATGTTGTGACACATATAGCCAATTGCTAACAGATTTTGTTTCATAGGCATCCTGACCGAAACCGCGACAATAAAGAAGCCTCCGAAAAGAAATTCAAGGAAATCGGCGAAGCCTATGAAGTTCTCTCTGACTCTCAGAAGCGTGCAATCTTTGATCAGGTCGGCGAGGAAGGACTAAAAGGCGGTATGCCACCACCACCTCCAGGTGGGATGCCCGGTGGAATGCCCGGTGGGATGCCAGGTGGGATGCCAGGTGGGATGCCCGGAATGGGTGGATTCGGTGGTATGCCATTTGAATCGTTCAACTTTTCCACAGGTCCCGGTGGGCCTCACAGTGGAGGCCATGGCAGCAGAGCAAATTTCGCTTTCAACCCCTCAGCAGCTGAAGATATTTTCTCCAAGTTCTTCGGGGGTGGAAATCCATTTGGCCAAAGCCGCAGCGGTTTTGATACTGATATGCACATGGGTGGCATGGACGATGACGGGTTCGGCGGAATGGGTGGCATGCCTGGCGGATTTGGTGGGATCCCACGAAGTCACACAATGCCCACACATACTTCCACAGCCCCTACAGCGTACACACACAATCTCACCTGCACACTAGAGGACCTATACAAAGGAACAACCAAGAAACTGAAATTCACACAGCCAAACGGTTCGGAACCACTGATACTCCAGAATGTCATAAAACCGGGGTATAAAGCTGGAACCAAACTCAAGCACAATAACGTTCTCTTAACCGCAGACGGAACCAAACAAACTGTTGAAGTTGTAATCCAGGAGGCGAAGCATCCGAGATTTGTAAGAGATGGGGATAATCTCAAGACCGACCTCGATGTTTCGTTGGACGAAGCTTTAGGTGGCATTAACCGGACAGTTGAGCATCTGGATGGAAGAAAAATCCCTGTCAAACTAAACAAAGGGATCCAGCCCGGACAAGTGGTTATCAAGAAAGGTGAAGGAATGCCCAATAGCAAGACCGGCATGAAGGGCGACTTGTTTGTCACACTGAAAGTCAAAATTCCGCCGTTGGCAGAGAGTCAGATCAAAAAGATACAGGAAATTCTGAGAAGCAGCGCCTAACCGGTTCTTTAGCCTCATGCTTGGACACTATAGGTCGGCCGTGAGTGTCCTATTTCTCGGGCATGGTGTGGCCCGATAACCACCGGCCTTGATTGGGGCCTTCAGGTGTTCCATCTTCGCCTCGTTCGTCGCAGGTTTTTCTTTTATATTTTATTTCTTGTTAATATTACGTTTGTGTGTCATCCCCCAAATACCTCACGTTTGTGCATACGCTGGCGTACTCCTCTTCTTCCTTTGTTCTATTACTCCTTTGTGTATTCCACTTTCTCCTTCCCTATCACCTTTAACGACACCAGACCTACCCTTCACGATTTTGGGGGTTCAACGGCGTTCATGACATTGGCGTTATCATTCTTGTTTTTTTTTGTTTTTTCAACTTTTGTTTTCGCATGGCCAATCTTACTATTGATCGCCAAGTATATAGAAACATAATGATATTTTCTAGTAGAAGACACAAGACATCTCCAAATCTACTCTGCTACCAAACACTTCCATTCCCAAATGCAAACTTTATTTTTTTTAAAACAAAATCGGTGAAAGTTAAAGAAATCACTTGCTCCAATCATAAAATCAGGATAAACGATCCCGTTTAAGCAAACCACGACTCCAGTACGCCAAACCCCACCTGTCAATAATCGGTATGCATTAACGACGACCAAGCGAATTTCCCGGCTCGATACGATAGGAATTAGACGCCAAGATAAGCTTCACCTGTCCTTACATTACTCTTAACGGATGACTGTAGACGGGGAAAAAGAAAGAAATTAGACGATCACACCTCGAATTACACAGGCCAAGGGACACCTGGTGGCTATAAGCTGACTGACATCACATCTCTTTAAGTTTTTCTTTGCTAGGAACAGCCCAAAATCGGATGTTGATACTTTACTGGGTCGCCCTTTCTCACCCCACCTGGAATTGAATTCATAGCTGATTATGCTTATTTTCTTTCTACCACAAGGGCACAACGCAAATTGGGGGTATTCGAAGCCAGGGATATCGCGTGGTGTATCCTAATTTTGAATCGTCGCGCATATGCGAATTGTCGGGATCCCTGGGTAGGTTATAGGTCTGTTAAGGGATGTTTAGAGTATTATGAGAGAGAGGGTTATAAAGAGTGCTGTTTTCCCATCCACCATGCATCCACGTTTACGCCTCAACCGCTCCTTTTTAGCTTGGAATACTTGGGTATATACACACGGGAGGTTTTTTTTTATATTAAAAAAAAACGGACATTCTTTCGATTTGCTTGATCACATTCATTTGAACACGCTCTTTATCGCTACAAGACTTCTTAGAAGATATATAATTATTTAGAAATAAATAAGTATATTTGTATACCCTACACCGACAAAATGAAGTTGTCCATTCTTTCAACCGCTCTTTTGGTAGCTAGGTAAGTTCTTCATTTTTAGAATCTATATCGATAGATCTAAAGTCAATACAATATCCTTTAAATTAATTGGCTAACATTATATCTCTTTTTATAGTGCCGCCGCCAGAATCACCGTCTACAGCACCGTAGTAACCACAAAAACCCTAACCGTCACATCCAAAAGCTGGACTTGGCGAAGATTTACAACCACAGTACTCAAGCCCACTACAGTCACAAAATACGAAAAGTACACCATCTACAAAAAGAGCCCACCCGTCACTGTCACAGAAACGATTAAAGAATGTCCTCCTAAGGAGGGTGAAGGTGAGGGTGAAGGAGAAGAAGAAGCGGGTGGAAAAGGAGGGGAAGATGATAAATATAAGACTTGTCCACCAGGCTCGGTTGTTGTTATTAAGCCTACCAGTACGGGAAATACCCCTTGTGTGACAAAGCGCCCCGAGCCTGTTTCGTACCAGTGTAATTGTGGTGCGGAAGGGGTGATGAAGAGGACGGTTACGGTTGTTCAGAGCTGTGGAACGTATATACCGACTCTCTATACCTTTGTACCATCACCGGTTGAGAGGTGCGTCCAACCTGGCGGGGTCTCTGAAGTTACTATTTAAGGAATAGGTTACTTTATCAATGTATCTACATAGTATACAATCGAGTAACTAGATAGCTTTGGGGAAAGGCTATGCAGCGAGTATACGTATATACTCGAGTGTTTTCTTGCTTTTGTATACACTGCATGTATCTAGTAGTATAGAGAACCGCACAATGCGCCGTACATGCGATAGATATCAGCCATATTTATCTGGCGAATAAGATAAATATCAACAAGTGTCGAGCATAAGAATCGTATGGCAAACTCGGAGATTGTATTTCAATATTTAAACAAAAGCGAGTCCATCAAACTATAAATCAGCTCCTGGATTCATGACGGATTAAATTGGCATTGTTAGGCCGGGGAAGCAACACAATCCACTTGAAAAATGCAACGACGGTGAATATCCACCACCTGCAACATTGAACTGTTCGCGAATTCGCTGCATCCAGTTGCAAAACTTCAAAAGCAAAATACGTACAACGATGGGATTTGAAGCCCTCGGATGGACGGATGGGTGGATTAATTCGAAGGAATTGGTTTTTCTTGGTAAGAGCGACTATCATAGCATTTCTTAGTCTTGTAAGTACATCGATCTTGGTATCACAAACCCGAAATATTCGGATTAGAAAACGCCGCAATAAGTTAACATCATACCACGAACCTTTGATATATAATATGAACCTCCACGGATCCATGGTCTTCGATTCGGGACGCTTTCCTTTCGAAATCCTTGAAGGTGGAGCTGCATGGTATACCGAACCCAAGGGTGCCGCGCCACTATAGGAGCCCCTGACTCTAATTTACTATATCCCCAAAGAACCCAGCGGACGATCATTCCTGAATCAAATCTAGATAGATCTAAATCCAGAAACAGAAAAAATTCCAGACTAAGCCCATAGTTAGACACAAAAAAATAGGCTAAATTCCGAAGACGATCAAATCTCAACTCGATTGATTGATTGACTAATTGATTGATGATATCATCACACTCAATTAGTTTAGTGTGTGTATATTAGGTTTTACGAATATAAGCGGCACTGCCTAAGACTTTGCCTCCATGACTCTAGGAACCTTGTCCCTGAATCGGATAGCTTCGTCGAAAAAAAATGTTTTACCACCCCCCTAACTAACTAACTTCCCGATCCCAGTTCGCTCCCCGGGCCCGTCTTTTCATACGAATCATGAAAAACCACCAACCGACGCTAACGAACACGAACTCATCAAAGCGTTATGTCGTTGACAAAGCGCATTCCCAATTAAGCTTAACAAACCTCTCCCTTGATCGTTAAAAGAAATCGCATCTACTGAATCCAGACACGAGTATAAAGCCTCGTCGTTTCTGTTCGAACAACCGTTTCAGTAACTGAGACCTCTGCTACTGCTGCAGATTGTGTGATAGTCGAAGTCACAGTGCTAACAACAAAAACCGTGGTATCAACATTAACCGGCGAGGTGGCGGTAACAGAAACAGTCGCTGTAGGTGTATCCGCAGGCTTAGGTGTAACAGTTGGAAGAACGCAAGAACAGGCAGAGGAGAGTCGGGCAGGGTCGGATGTAAATGGCTCCAAGATGTTATACCTCGCAGCGGCTTTCTTGACAATCTTATCCTTGCGAACCTTGGCCCTGACCGCCTTCAATTGGACTACTGTTTGAGTGGCGGTAACGGTTGTAGTCGAAGTCACGGTGAATGACCTCGTGTTTGTCGTTGTTGCGAGGACAATTGTCGTGTAGACAGTCTTGGTAGAGACAATGGATTTGGTCAGGGTGCTATTGACAATCGTTAATATTCCTCTTCTAGTTAATGATATTTAACTTCCGTTAGTGAAGACATACATAGTAGGGCTTTCAGTAGCGACGGTCACAGTCTTTGTTCCACCTGTGCTGGGTTTGGTCGTGGTCGACCCTTCGTTCAGCCAGGTTCTACACGATGCCTGGCCAAGAAGCCCATGGGCCCTCAAATAACGAAGGAGGTTGTCCGCATTGCAGGTACCACGTCTGTTGAGTTCCAATGCATTATCATTCTCGAAGCGAGGATTGAAAGGGATAGCAGTGGCAATGGAGACCAAAGCTAGAAGAGAGAAGAAGAGAACGGAAACGGATTTTGTAAACATCTTGGAATAAAATGAGTTATTGAATTGAAATGAAATGAGAAAAACCCAAATATACTTTGACAATTGTAAAAAGATAGTCTACGAGAGATACGAGAATAGCTTGCAAGGAACGTGTGAAGAGCCGATACAATGGGCTGTTCTTTGTGGGTGCACCAGGCTGGGGGGTTACGGAAAAAGGGAATGAAGATATCCTGGGAATGAATGAGGGACCGCGAGGGATGGTAAAAGAATCCCATCATGGGGAAGCTATCTCTTTATAGTTTATCGATTGCCCTTATAAATTCTTCCTTTTGACTAATTAGCACAAAGTAATAAACTAATTCACGGTATCACTACCATATAGCATTGCTAATAATTAGCTAACGATGATCTTCACAAAAAAAAAATCTTCAGGAGAAACTCGGTCTACCTTGCGCACGGCCGACCAGAATCCTCAGAAGTGGGACTGGATAAGGGCTTGGGCGTTGAAAGTTGAAACACGGCACCCATTGCCGTGGCTTGCCAAGTCGAAACGTTCATGGATGGAGGGTTTGGGACGAAAGCGATTGGATTCGCCTCCCTAACCACGCGAGAACCCCTCCTCAGCTGGTAAGTCGTATCCCCTAAACCGGCCCTTTCTGCACCTTGGCTGAGCATAGTTCCGAACTGCGAAAATCGGACGGTTTGGAAAGGGGATGCATATGCTGATCTTCCTATACAGATTCGTAATTGAAAAACTTAGCTTTTAGAGCTCTAAAATTCCTGCATTGGTATCGAATGTATTTCACAAGAATCGAAGTTTTTTCTGGTTTCGCGAAAAATCGATAAGGATTGGTCGCGGGCGTCGTCAGCCTCCCTCAGGAATCCCGATAAATGCCATGCCCTTTGTTATAATTACCTATATCACAGCTATCATTCCCCACAGCTGATGCAGGTGCATTTCACAAAAGCGTGGGAAGGAAACCTGCACTTATTGACAGATTTACACTTCCATGCCAGCTCCACATTTTAACATGGCTGTTTTGAAAGCAGCGAAAAGCCTTTTCACTAACAAGCCTAACTAGTACACGGCTTAGTGGGCAAGGTTTCTGCTGATAGTTAGGTACCAGGCTTCTCCACCCCACATCTCGCTCGCTCGGTTGGCTTGGATTACACAAAGTTTTTCCACCAGCTCTGCCACGTTTGTGTCAGCTGCGGGGTGCTGTAATCAACAAGAGACGATTAGGAATTATCAAATAGGTATCAGGGGTTCAATTGGTATGGGTTGCCTGTGGGTTTAACATGATGCCGAGATCCGGTTCCAAACAATGAAGTCCTTGCCGCATTCGCATTCGCGCATCCCTTTTGAAATGATTTTTACGAAAGAAGATTCAAAACCCTTATTAGTATAATATGAGATAATGCGAAAGGATTGAGGGGAACAAATTAAGTAGCCTAGATATAGTGGGACTAATCTCGTAACGCTACCCAGATGGGACGCGATTCTGGGCAATATACACCCAATAGCCAAGTTACGGGATATCCTTATAACCAAATCAATTTATAGCGGTCGCTCAAAATTTGCAAACTGAGCTTTGGGCCCAATGAAACCCCAATTTGTATTTCGGGATTTCGAAAATTTGTTTCTCAGACCTGGGAAAGATACGAGGTTCTCGGCCAGATTTCCTGAATAGATCTATTCCAATTTCCAACGTATAAATACTAGAAGCTTATATATTAAGACAGTTATGATACCTCCATAAATAAATAACGGGGTTATGATCCCAAACGCCCATTCATTACAATCCATAACATTACAACCGATCCAAATCTTCATAAAAATCTCTTAACAGAAACTTAATTATAGTCATACTCCTTCCTTTGCGCTGCAGTAGGCGGAGGTGGTGGAATATATGGTTGTTCAGAAATAGGCATTTCCGCAGGCCGACTAATCGGATCTGCCTGAACTTCATGCGACGGAGTTGGCACAACTTCTTGAACGCCAATGTTTAAGTTGACATTGTTTGAGGGTTCCCCACTCTTGATTTCCTTTTCATTGAATGCTCCAGGTGGCTCTGGAACGGGCTGAGGTGCGTATATTATTGGTTCCTGCTGTTGGGGGTAATACGGCTGCTGCTGCTGGAATGTGTAGTTATAGTATTGCTGTTGCCCTGGGGCCATCGGAGGGACCGGCATGCTTTCTGTATCAGGAGGGTACGGTGCATTTTCCTTGTTCTTCTTCTTCCGACCGAAGAGAACAGCACCAAAACCTGCAAAACCTGCGGCAATGGATGTACCAACCGTCTGCGCTGTCGTCAAGCCTCCTCCTGTGCCAACAGTAGTGCCTGTGGCAGCTCCTCCTGCAAGACCTGGAGCGAGACCGCCAGTTGGGCCAGCCACTGTAGCTATACCTGGAGCGAGACCGCCAGTTGGGCCAGCCACCGAAGCTACACCCGGTGCAAGCCCACCAGCGGCCGAAGAACCGATTGCAGTGCCCCCAGCACCACCTGTAGCGGTGCCAGCGGTTGATGCTGCAAGACCTTCAGATCCAGGAACATAGCCAGGTGGGACCCCTGGAGCCATGGTGGTAGCAGCCCCTGCTGCGGATGTTGGGTCGACTGGTGGAGCAAAAGCAGTGGATGCCGCGGTAGCACCCGCATCGGTAGGAGGAGGAACTGCCATCGAAGAAAGACCTTGCCCAGCCTGTGCAGCCCCTTGAGCGGCCTGACCGGTACCATGTGCGACCGCATTCGCCGCTTTCTCTGCTACTCCGGGAACATATCCAGCTTGTGCTGCAGCTTTACCTTCGATACCGGTTGGGACGTATCCAGACACTGCGGCTGCGGCTTTACCTTCGACCCCAGTGGGGACATACATTGCTCCTGATGCGCCAGCAGCACCACCTCCACCTCCTGCACCACCTCCACCAGCTGCAGAGGAAGTTCCGATACCAATAGCTGCTCCGGCCTTTGCGCCCCAGACGGTCTTGGTGACAGCCAAGAATCCAAGACCACCTAATGCTGCTACACTAGCGATGGCACCGATTACGCCGCCTGCAATCTTGCCTCCAGAGGCTTGTTTTTTAAATCCCGACTCGAATCTGCAGGCGCTATTACAACCATCTCCATCGTTTGTATTGCCATCGTCGCATTCCTCGCCAGGGTCTAGCTTTCCATTACCACATCCGATAGGACTCGCTCCTCTAACCAGAATGTAAGGTATACCGCTCGTACCATCACTGAAATCCCTAGACCCTTCGCCTGGGACATCTTGGGCAATAGCCAACGGGACGAAACTCTCGGTACCAGACGAAGGGAACGTAACGAAAGCCTCATGAACTGAGCAGGACCAATTACTGAGAACTTGATCCGTGATGCCGTCTAACACCTGGTTCCGAGCAACAATATGGACTTCATCATAACAGTTTTCTTCCTCTTCAGCATTAAGGTCGCCACGGACTTCGAAGTTGCCAAAGATATCAAGGATCGGAACGGTTGTTTTGTTCTTAGCGCCATAGTATTTTGATAGAGAGAAGTAGAGACCAGTGCCCTTGCCAGTAGCAGCAAAGGCAATACCATTAGACATGAGGGTTTGTGCATCGTAGTAATGGTTCGAGGTATCCGTGCCTATATTTTCCCACGGTCAGCTATATGTCATGTATATCCAGGCCCGGAAACATTTTTTTTTCGTTTGGCGTTGACATGTCGCGCTCGGTTTCCAACAAACATACCAATCAAAATAACATTTCCCTCAATCGCATTCCCCCACGTCTGTCGATTTTCCATTAAGGGCTCTAATTTATCGGGATCGGTAGAAATAGGGTCGCCGATGACTATCGCTTTGTATTTTTTAAAATCGTTGGTGGTCATGGCCTGCCATTCACTCGTACTAACCGTCGTGTAGGTCCAGTTATAGGAGTACCTGCCGTTGCGATCACTCGCGACGATATCTTCATATCCAGTGAAACTGACATGGAAAAGGAGATCTTCTGCGAATGCGACAGCGAAAAACGGGAGGAGAGATAGGGCTTTCATAGCGCTATATAGATTGCGCGTCTAATCGATACTTCCGTATCGATATAGAGATCGCGAAATGAAAGCGGATCTATAGGAGGCTATGCAATGGAACTCTCAACAGCGAGAGAAGGCCGACGCTGCGTTCGCAAATAGGGTCTGAACGAACAGATTAGACGAGAGATATCTCTAAGGGTTCGCCAGGGTCTCTAGAAGGGAGAACATCAGGGTATATAAGTATTCCAACTAGAGTACTTAACTTGTCCTTTCCCCCTCAGCCGAGGATTCTTTTTTTTTCTTCCCCTCCCCTTCCATCTAACGTTAACCCTTGTGACAATTGGTCACCGAAAAAAGTTGGGGCTCTTTGTTACTTCTTCAGCCTCTGGAATACCGGCAAAAGGTATCAAAAAGAAAAAGCATTCACCCCGGAAGCCTTGTGTTCCAGAAAGGCCGGAAGCCAAGCTGTAGCGAGAAAAGAGGCAACCAACGGAAAGACTCGCCATTTGGCTATTATTGGTTGGAGATTGGTGGCCTGGGTCTAAAAGTGCATTTGAATCGCTAACCCTGGGCCTTTGATCGCCCCACCTGGGTTGCACACGGGATTTTTCTGATCCCGGGGTTTCGTTCCTGAACTAGCTTCTGCTAGAACTACAATTCAATTCAATTTCTCAACAAAACACAAAACTCGAGGGTATTTCTTATATTCAGTATTGATAATACCAAATAGCTTTGGCTATAGCCTTGTATTCCCTACTGATCCTTTACTTAGCAAGATAATCATAGTGAAAATTTCTGTAGTCTTTCGAGCATCGTATACACAGACAGAAACTCACCAAAGGTTCGTCAGTAACTGTATTCTTGTAAGTATCTCAATATCGCAGCGAGACGCCCATTAGCCAAAGTTTTTTGAAACGTTTCTATGGCCTGTCAGCCAAGTTTTGACCAGCACGTCTTCGGCTCCGGTTCCTTCATCTGGGTTTAATATATCCCCAGAGCTACCCCGTTTTGAAAATCTAACTGGATCCGCGGAGAATGCCCTCGAATTGATTGACATGTAGGGATATGAATTTACAATGCTTTCAAGTTCTTTACTAACCTGGGATTCAATAGTTTCATAAACCGGGCACTGCCGGGTGTAAATGATTAGCACTAGTTCGTTCACGATTGTATATTCTACTACTTTCAAGAACCTCAAATATATATTGGGGTTAATATGTTTTAGAAGGGAATCGGATACCGACGTTGATAGAACCCAAGCATTGTATATTACACAATATATATATAACTATATGAAACCCAGTAAATTGGATAGTAAATTTTAAACTAAACAAACATCGTCAAGTCGATGATGCCGCCTGTCCATCTATGCATAATCTATAGCACCAAGGCCAATGCTGATATCTATATATTTTAGTTCGGATTATTAATGGCCCAGAATCAATATTTGTATCTTTTGGATTGAAAGCTTGAACTATCTCATGTATAATTTAATACACCCAAATACCTGCGCTGCGAAGAACGGCGAGGGCGTCCAGACGATCAAAACATACTATAATTCCACGTCATTCAATTAAAACTGAAATTAAACATTGTGTAGTTCTCATAGTTCGTTTTTACGCCCCTGGGCACCGGCTACAGCTGGCCAGCTGGCGATTGAGGGCGCCCGAAACTTGAAGGCCTAAGCGTTGACTACTAGCTACTAGTGATATATATCCCGTCAGGTTTTTATCAAGATGAGCCATGACCACGGCATGCATCGTATGTATTGCAGATATGCAGAAACAGTACACATGTATACATATTGATAAAAGTATCACGACGGAAGCATCGCCACAACAATCTACCTTCTAGTTAAAATTTCTTCCCACGGCCATGAGGTCCTTAGCTTATGAGTCGAACACGAACCTTTACCGGGTCGCTTTATATAGGTCGGACAACAGGAGTATTTGACAAATACTCTTCTGTGCTTGTTTGTGCATGCAGCTAGCCTTTGGTCCTGCAACACACGTGGTTGGAAAATTAATTAAATGACCCTGAATTTCTTGAAAGTCTCGTCGTTTCAGATCCCCAGTTGACTCCTTTCGACGAACTAAATAATCAATAACCAGATCTCTAGACGAGCCAAGGCTTTAGTATTAGTCAGAGGACTAATTGCAGCTCCTTTGGAGTTGGTTAGTATCATACAATACCTCCAAGTATCTGAAATTTCTTCCCGCGTGTGTGGTAAAAGTCACACCTTATCAGAACATCAAAATTCCTCATGCAAACTTTGCATAAGTATGCACTTGTACCCGTGCATCGATAGGTACGGATGCATATAATTGGTCTGATATGATATAACTTGCATTCACGCACCTCGGAATCTAACCTCTCCTTTGCCCACAAGCTGAAAAAAATTAAGCATTTTTTTCGCCCAAGGCTGGGATGTGCCAACTGGCATGGTGGCGTACAGCGGCTGACGACTCCTGGGATCCTGTAACTAACCATTGTGTGACCCAGAGATTCGCTTGGCCACTGTATTGGAATTTAGTGGTTTGGAGGGAGATGCGGCCGGTGCGGGAAATTCCGTCTACTTCATACAAAGTACTCTACTAAATGTATGTAAATTCATGGAGTTACGCTTGCCACTATTAATATCTTGCAGCGATGAATCTTGCCCCTACATGAGAAAAAAAAAAAGTTGAATCACGGGTCCTTATCTTTCAACTAAGACAGGATTTTGGCTAGATCTAAGGTTCCATAGGGGTAGCTGAAGATTCGAAAGATGTATATTTACAGATAGAGGTATATTTCTATACAAAGGGAATCTTCATTATAGAACAAGGATCCCGTGAAGTTTTCATTGGTGCAAATTTTGCAAGTGTATACGTTCGGGGAGTGACACACCGAGTCCTAGGCAGTGGTACGGGCCCTGGGAGCCTACCAAACTTCGGAGCCTATACATATGCCAATTCGATTCTGTTGTTTCCACAAACTTGAGAGTTTTTTTAGCCTCGAAATGCAATTAATAATCTTGCACAGTTATTACTTATAGGAATGATTGTTATTCGACTCAGCCCTGCTATGAATCGATATCGACATATCTAGTACTATAGTAGTTATGTATACACAGCATACAGTCATACATCGATCCCGCATCTAAGTAAATCCAGTAACGGCTCTATCAATATACAACTCCTCCAAGTACTTTTCCTCCTCAGCCGTCAACTCTTTTCCATTAGCCTCAAGAGCCTCATCGATTCTCTCGACGCTGCTGAAGCCAATGATAGGTGCCGAAATGCGCTTGTTGATCCAAGCCAAAGCCACGTGGCTCATCTTCCACCCTTTCTTGTCAGCGATTTCTTTGACTCTCTTGACGATTTCCTTATCTACTTCTTCCGATCCTATTCTAAGGAATGGTAGGTGACTTAATTTCTTTTCTGAGGCGGAGCGGTCGGTTGCGCCAAAATCTTCTGGTTGACGAGCGAGATGGCCACGAGCAAGAGGGGCCCATGGGATTAGACCGACGCCGGTGTCATTACAGAAACGATTCTACATGGAACAAAAAAGGTCAGCAACTTCTCATATTAGTGTTTTCACTCGCGAGCAAGATTGATAACATACCATCTCTCTCTCCTCCTCTCTATACAACAAACTATATTGATTCTGCATGCTCACAAACTTTGTCCACCCATTCTTCTCAGCCACAAACTGCATCCTCGCAAACTGCGTAGCCCACATACTACTAGCCCCGATATACCTAACCTTCCCACTCTGCACCAAATCATGCAAAGCCTTCATGGTCTCCTCAATGGGGGTATCATAATCAAACCTATGAACCTGCAATAAATCGATATAATCCGTCTCCAACCTCTTCAACGAACTCTCCACTTGATTAAAAATAGCAGCTCTGGACGATCCACCTTGGTTGATGAAATCTTTGGATTTATCCAACGCATCCCCGAATAACCACGCTGGACCTTCGGGGGTATCTAGTACGTGACCCCAAGATTTTGTGAGAATGACGATCTTGTGTCTTGGGATTTGGTATTGTTTTATGGCTTTGGCGATTACGAGCTCGGAGTGCCCGTTGGAATAGGTATTTGCTGTATCCCAGGTGTTGATACCTCTGTCATAGGCAGCTTTGAGAAGCGGGAGGGCTTTATCTTCGTCTAGAACCCAGTTTTGCCATTTGGAGGAGCCGATGGACATGGCGCCCAGGATTGGGACTGAGACGCGGAGACCGGAGTTTCCTAGGCGTTTGTAGTGCGCCTTAGTGGCTTCGACGGAGGTTTTGAGGTGTTCTGGTAATTGGGCCATCTTGAAAGGAATATGGGTCTCGGTGAGATTGAAGGTGAGGGATTTCAGAAATATTAATTTTTAAAATAGTTAGAGATCTCAGAAAAGATTCAATTGAAGAGTGAGTTGCTGTTGTATTCCGAAAACGTCGTATACTTGCAATTGCACAATGAAGAAGGAAGTGGAAGCTTATGAACAAAATATCGAGGACTTCTAGGTCCTTTATACTTTTTCCTTTTCCTTCCTTCCCCGTTTCACTCTTTTAGCTTTGAAATCCTCATTACATTGCGTATACGTTTTTTTTTTTTCAAACCGTTTTACGTACTATCTTCGTCCCGTACGGCAGGGTAGTAAGCCACTCAATTGCCCAGCTTCCTTATTCGAAATCCATGATAACTAGCTTAGCTAAGTTAGTTGAACAAGGTAGCCCGTCTGCCCGCCTCCGGTTTTGGGACCCAGCTCCGATCCGAATACAAGAGCATCTCGAAGTTTGGTTGTATGTTGTTAGTTTCGGAGATGTCCTAAACCCCGTTCCGTTAACTCAGTTTTTAGAATTTTAAACCCCGCGGCCCCATGAACCAAAAAAACAAGACTCTAAAATATGCATATGCATATATGGCGTTCTCTTTGAAACGTGTGAATGCTTAACAATCAACGAGAAAGAACGGATCCGGATCCTCGTTCGTACCCTTGTTGGGGAATTGGCTTACTACCTGGCTAACGTCTTCGTGTTTACCCGCGGCCGCTGGACGCATTGATCGATGGGACTGACTAGTTGTGCAAGTGCATGGAGACTTGTACTTCTGCTCGATGTAACATCTGCGCGACAATTGATTGCCTACAATGGCGGATTATCATGCGCACAATTTCTTTCTTTTTTTTTTTCTGTGTCGACATGTCCTCAAATAGTAATTTTAACTAAGATAGATATCCGGATCCGGTAATATTTTATCTCCGAAGTTTTATCCAAATGTGGAAAGTTGATGGATTTGGTATTCGTATAAGTGCGTCGACCAAGGGCGACGACTGTATGACGCTTTCGATGTCCGTAAGATTATATAAGAAATGGCTAACATAATCGGGCTAGATTGTGGGCTGTGAATCGAATATGTTTAATATGTCATGAAAATAAAAGTATCAACGTTTGAGAGGAATTTCTTCAAAGTACTGTATTTGTGGATCCTACTTTTGTATTTGATTGTTCAAGACCTGCTCGAATAATAATAGTTGATTACGGTGTCCAATCGGGTCGCGAACCAGTTCTCTCGCATACGTACGTGCTATATTACGATTATACATTAATATCAACGATCTAGCCATCCGAAATCCGGATAACCAAGGGATACTTCGACCCAAGAACCAGCTCAGGACCTCCATCCGACTTAATCACCGCCCTTCATCCAATATCCACGGATTAACCGTTAAATCATCCATCCACTCTCTAACCCACCCTTCGATCCTTTGCGCTACATCTCCTAGTAGCTTTTCATATGCGCCACCACCACCACCGCCGCCGCCTTCTTCGAATACCTCCTCCACAATTTCCTCTTTTTTCGGACTGCTGCTGCCATATACAGTCTCGACTCCAAATTGATCTGTCTCTACTTCCGGAGGTGTAACTGCGCCCGGAACACCATTTATAAAGAATAATCCGCAATGAGCGCCGACCTCGTCTACATTCTCCATTTTAACTTTGACCCAACACTCATGTTGTTCTCGAGGGATGATGCAAAATGTCTTTTCTTTCTTTCGTAATTCAGCATATGAGGGCGAGACTTGGCCAGAAGCACCCGATAACGGTGAAATTCTATCTACCATTACTGTTTCCGAGTGTTTGTCTTCTGTATTCTGAGGTGGAGTATTCGGTCCAGGGCTGTAAACGGGTGGCGGCGTAGCCTCCTCTCCTTCCTTCACTACCACGGGGACAACTGCCTCTGGTAACGGTGATATCGGTGGAACTGTCTCGTTTTCCGGCGTTCCAGTTTCTCCAGGAGTTTCTCTCGTCTGAATCTTCTCTTTCTTAACCCTCCCCGTGCTCACAGTGTAGTAATTCACAAACCTCACCCTTGGCACCCAAACTCCATGTTCCCTTCCACTTTCTCCAAACAATAGACGTCTCCTGTCTTCGATATCCCTCCTATCTAGCGCCTTTACCTGCTCATACCTTCGCCTCATAACGCCAAAATCCATCAACGCGCCCGAAAACTCCAGGTGGCCGTTAACATAAGCCATCGCAGCACGTCGTAGACCTCCCTGGTGTTTTTTGAAGAATTCCATTCCGGATTGCCATACCGATTTCTTAGGTTTGATGGTTGGCCGGAAAAATGTTGATGTGCTACCGTAACTGTTGGATGTTCCTGTACTATTCGTGTAGGTACTGGCTGTGTCTTCACTGTCATAGCTTGTTCTTGAACTACCGTAGAGGTTTTCGGGGATGGATGGGTCTGGGAGGGGTTTTTCGCCGGGACTGAAGATGGAGGCTAAACCGGATTTTATGACGCCAGGGTGGATACCGATGAATGGGGTGTCAAAGGATATTGTACCTAGGATTCTGTGGCGGCCTGGCGGGAATGGTTGGAGGATGACGGCATCGGCGGCGAGAAGACCGCCCATTGAGTGGCCTAGAAGGACGATATCCGTTGTCGAACATGTAAATTGGGATAACCTGGAAAACAATACACAAAAAAAAAAAATCTATCAGCTGAAAACATTCGATAAAGAAATGTTATATGAAAAATTTATGAAGCTGTACGTACCATTGTGAGAAATTCTCAACAGCGATAGATATTTTATCTCTAGTCTTAAACTTCGGATACACCTTTGTGTGAACGACATGCGTATCTTGGACTAGTATTGTAAGTAATTCGTGGAAATGTGCTGGAAAGCTACGAAATGAAGTTTCATCGCCGACAAAGCCGTGGATGAATACACAGAGGAGGGTACGAAGATTAGATTGTCCGGATTGTATTGCCTCGACAGCAGACGGTGCCGGTAGGAGAGAGGCTGTCGATGAACTTCGAGGGTCGTTTGGGGATTGATAAGGATGGAGAGAAGGGTTGGTGGTATTGGGCACGGAGGCGGACGAAGGAGAAAGATGTGTCCAGCGACGAGGGACCGGCAGGGACATTGTAGCGAACTGGCGGTGGCCGGTGGCGGGGTTGCAGAAAGTTGGGATAAAGTGTTGAGCGAGGTTGGCTTTTGGTTACACAGTCACCAGATCTGGATATATCGCTGCGCTGCGACAAGATTATTTTTTTTTCAAGTGAAAACGAATAAGGAAAAGGAACGGTTGATTTGATGGGAAGCGGTATCGCTCGTGATGTATATCTATATATATACTTACGCTCATTGATAGAATAGAACATCCAAACTCTACTAGGATAGTCTCGCTATTTCGGAAGTCGCATTGAGAGGTGACGCCAGTGACTTCAGCCTAGGTTATCCTGGTCGAGGCCATAGAATTGGAGAAAGTCTCAACGAATCCCCGTCGGAAAGCTCGCCAGGGCGCAGACAGGGGCACATTGTTCAGATTACGTTAGCACAAATTGTTGTACAGCCCGTTGGTTTGAGTTTGGTACCGCCGCGTCTCGGATTCTTGGCTGTACGGTATACGGACTACGAAGTACGGGCAGCTGCTTAAGCTTTGAGTATATATAGATTAGAAACTCCGAGCCTGCTGTGCAAACGAGTCAATTAGAAATGATAGTAGGATCAAATTCTTTGATGTTCTAATTAAGAATATTTTAGAAAGAGAAAGAGTCGCTAAACAGCAGAGGCTTCAAACAGAGAAGGCGGTGTAGGTGGTTTCTAGCGAACATCGAAGTGTGCACAGAGACACACCCTGCAAAGAGCTGTACTACCTAATTGGTGGTATAAAGGCAGGTTTATAAGAATGGGGAAAGAATATAGAGGGAAAAACAAGAGGAAAGAAAGGCAGAGGGTCCTTAAAACGCCAGACAAAAGGATAAGAGGGGAAGAAGTATTGGGTGACTTGAAACGCCAGATCTTGAAGCGCTGCCCCGTGACGATTCAGAAACAAAGTGAGTATGCAGGTAAGGCTTATAGCAAAGAATAGAGTAAAACAACTTTTTTGAACGCCGGGAACGTCGTGAAGAAATATACAAGGAAACGTATGGGAAAAATGTGGTGTGCTTACTACAAGTGGAATTGAGTAAGTGGTTTAGGGCTCGAAAAGAGTCACATTTGTGATACCTATCGATACCGCAAGGAAGGATGTATGTGGATGAAGTTTTTGGTGAGTTGGCATTGAAAAAGGGAGTTAAACGGGCCCATGAGATAACATAGGCTGTGCTTGTCCCAGATTCTGCTTGTCATTGGCAGAAAGCCGATCACGTATTGTGACACCGGGGCGATATAGTTAGTTATATCGCCGCACTTAACGCTCGATTTCGATGATTTTCTCCTTGTATTCAACTTTCATAGTATTCTTCGGCATCATGACTTCGGTTTTCAATTGCTCCTTTGCGGTAATAACATCTTCTTCCCATTCGGCGTAGTCTAAATTGCCTCTTTTCATGAAAAGATTGTCCGAGTCGAAGGAAAAGTGGTCCAACCCTCTGACCTTTCTCATTTCTTCGAGCATACACAATCTCCAGACCCTAGTTGTCCGAATAGAGATATTCTCCCCAAAAGCACGAACACGTAGGTCCTTCAATCCATGCATTTCCTCAGATATGATCCGCCAGACTTCTTTCCACGTCTTGTTGTCGTATGGAGGGTATAGCGGTATCTTGCGAGAGTTCTTACGCTCGGAGACGAATTGCTCAAAGTGGGTGACTTGGTGTGTGATCTGTAGGTGCTTAATAAGCCCGAAGTGTCGGGGAGAAATCGAATTACGGAGATGGATCAACATGTCTAGTGTGTTGAGGCAGAACATATTGGTGGAGTAAAGGTAGTCGGAAGCTTCGAGGTAGATACTGCGACAAGCGCGGATCATGCCGCCGGTGCAGTGTGCGAACATTCCGAGCCTTTCGACACGATCTGGATCCTCGTATGCGCTAGCACGATTGTAAACATTTGGAATGCAAGAGCGGCTATGGTCGGCCTCGCCACATGGTCCTGAAGGCCAGAGCTTGCTGTCGGGACATGGGAGGAAAGGTAGGTTGCAACGGGAGTGGCGTAAGCGATTTTTCGGTTTAATAAAGTGAAATGTGTGCCCGCCTAGAGCGTATTGGTAGATGAGATCTCGTATCTCGCCGGGAAGACTGAGAAGTCTTGATTGAAATTGGGGGTCTACGGAGTCGAATTCGACCGGCTCTTCTTGCTTTCCAAAGATCGAAGGCAAGCTGACTTTTAGTTTGCTGGGTTCTGGAGGAGCGAGCGACTTCCGTGTTCTGTACTTTTTCTTTTCCTGGTAGAGTTTCTTTTGGACTTTAGACTCGTCTTTAGCAAGTTCATACAATGCCTCCCCGGAAATCCAAACGAGACCAAAGGGAACAAAGATACAGAAGCCGATAGCATTGATGACCTTCCGTGTCCGGGTTCGCCTAACCATATTGGCAAGGGGCGGTAGAGGTTCCTGGTGGAAACCTTGCTGAGGATAAGGTTCTTCTTTGTTTAGTCACTAATTCACGTCGGATTGATGTATGTTTGTGAATCCTAATTGGAATTCCGTTGTTGGGAATTATTGTGGAATGTCCCGTCGTTGTGAGGTATATTTCGGTGGGATGAGAAGCCACTAGAATAGAATATTTGTCTATACGTCGACGGAAGTAAGAACTATGGGCAGGGAGGAAATACGGCTTTCCAAAGAGTATAAAGATCAAGACCGATTGTAATAAATACTTTCTTGGAAGATGATGAAGACCTTGAGTTCGTTAATTCGTGAAACAGGAGATCGAGAGTGGGGTGCCGGCGTGTTAAATATGGTCAGAAGTTAGAACGAACGAGCGAACGAACGCAACGGCTTCTGGGTTACTAGCGGCGGTGGAGCTGCAGCAAAACCCTTGTCAGCCTGGCTGAGTGCCGGGTTGGTACGATTCTGGCCGGTTGGTCGTCTTTGGCTATGACAAGCCCATCAGCCAGCCTTGGTGCAAATGGAGGGCAAATGCTTCAGGGATGCTGATGATGCTCAGGTCCCTGGTCACTTTAGAACAGCGTAGAGAGAAAGGAGAGAAAGATAAAAAAGAGAGAGAAAGAGTTTTTGCCGGTAGGAGTATGGCGTCCAAGGGTCCAAGTGTCTAAGTGTCTAAGTGTAAGTGTTAATGGATGAGGTCTGTGAATTCGAGAACAAGCAACGAACGAACGAGCGACGGGTATCGCAGCAGGGGTCAGCTCAAATGCAGCGCAGAAGTGGAGAAGGGAGAGTACATAGTACAATGCTTACCTCCAAGACTGCAGCAAACCAACTAAGTACTAAGTCGTCCAAAATAATGGAACAACAGCCAGAGGCTCCGAAAGAAGCCGGTCGGAATGCTCGATGATCAAAGATGGGAGAGGTTGATGATATCGAGATTGGCAGAGAGGTTGGGCGACGATGAGTTGCGTGGGTCTGGTTGAGGTTGTAACTGAAACGTTCCAACACGAGGCCGTCCGCTCTCAACAACAAACTTCCTCCATGCCATGTGTACCTGCTACACTGTGTAAGTGTACACTGACGTCCTATTTGATGGTCTCGGAACATCAACCGGTCTTCAACATCTGCTAACTCATTTGGTGATCGAGGTGCCCCAGTATATGGATCCTCATTGGCAAGTTTTCTAGGTACACTAGGTTGGACAACCGACCTGCACATGCTGCCACGTTTTGACTATGTCCTAGTGTCTATGAGTGGCTATGGATCGATTTTGCTTTTGCCCGCAAACTGTCTCGCCACCCTCGCTTCTACTCAGCTATCCTATGTAATTCAAGGATCTAACAATTCTAATTTTTGAATTTTCTGGAGATATTTAAACTGGGAAAAAATTACAGGGGAAACTTTGAGGCATCGATGTTCGCCAAGATCAGGAATCTTTATCATATCACATACCTTGTGCAAAAGTGCAGAGATCGTCGAATGATATCTCTTGAGCCGTTACGTTCAAGACACTCAGGGCGGAAACAAATAGTACTCATACGACAGACGGACGAGCAATGATCTCAGTCCGATACGCCTTTCCGACTAAAGGATAGCGTTTGCTGCTTTGTATGCACCCTGCCGGATTTAGATCATGCCATGGGATGGTGTCAGTCGCTAATATATGCTTTGCCGCCTCTAAATTCATTTTTCAACCTCGATTCATTATCAATCAGCATTTACTGCAAGACGATATAGCGATCAGGAATGCCAGTGTATGCAATAGCAAGAGATGCGAAAGTAAATATTCAACAAAAAGCTTTGGGTCAGCCTCTGCGTGTCGGTCTAGGCTCGGACTTTAACATGGAGCGGTTAGCTAGGCTAACATATGTACATATGTACATACCTACATGTAAGCTAGTCCCGTGGCTAAGCAGAACTCTTAGCACAATCAAGCGGAGTATTTGGTGTCTTAGAGAAGAATCTATTCCCCCCGCTTTTTTACCAAATATTTAAGTATTTGTTTTTGCGGGGACTTAAACCATTATTCTCAAAGTGGAGATGTAATTGATTGTTTTGATATTGCCTCACATCATCGGAAATATTTACAAGTACTTGGGAAAAAAGGGTATAAATTCCATAGTGTTTTAAGCCTTAACAGGGAGGGGTATTCTTGCTTGGCCTTGATAGTTACTGGTTGTATGTCGCCACCGAAGCTACATAAGGGCATTGTCAATTACATACATTGCGGAAGTTCAGCCGCAGAACTGTCGCAATAAAGAAGTCACCCTCAAACGGGACTTTCAACTACTGCTCCATAGATTGTTTGCTCGGAAAAGGAAGCACGGGCCTTGGGAATTGGCGAATATTGCGTCCGATTATAGAGGGCTTCAAGCACTTGCTATCATTCAAAGCAGTGACTGCAAGCCCTCGAGTTTATTAGCTCTTGGCGATACCCCGTTCAGACCAATTCGGATTCAATCCCACAGGATTATAACTGTTGTCGCCCCTGATAAGAGACTTTATGCTCTTCCTCCCTCTCGGTCGCAGTTGCAATGGAATTTAGGCTCTTGGTTTTCTTTGAAAAAGAGAATCCTCAGGCATGCAATGGGTCACCGAACTGTCGTTTTCAGACTTGTTCTCCTACATTTCCTACTATTCTTCAGACTCAACAATGCATCAAACCTAATCCTTCTCTCACGAGACGACATCGGCTCGATCCATGGCTGGGAAGGTCTAACTTACCAAGCAATCCGCTATGAACCCCTTTGCGGAAGCTTAGGTTCAGCGGATTATTACCGTCAAGTTTACTCCTTCTCCCCATCATGCCAACCCGCCACCGAGATCTTTACAAACACCACCCATAACTTCGCCATCTACGATTTCACCGGTATTCGCCTTCGAGGACCTGAAGCCCGCATTGGCGCCGGTAAGGAAATATGTGTTTGTTTCGCGCTAAAACAGATCACGGATCAAAACTTTGGGGCGGCGATATGTGTGTATGTCAATGGGGACGCACAGATTTACTTGGACGGTACTGTGGCGCTTAATTACAGACCTGGGGTGGATATAGAAAGGACATTACCAATCTGTGGTGGCGAGTTTGACGTTGAGGCTGCAAGGGCGGAATGGTCCAGAACGGCTATTCAGCCGCAGGTTACCGAAGTTGAGTCTACCATTGGGACTTTAGGGACGACGGTGCGTGGGGGGATTACGACTATACAGACGGTTATTTCAACCGAATATATTGTCAGTACATACATTCCCCCAGGTAAGGAATTTATCCTGTTCGATGTTCAAATTCGCCTTCAAACAAAACGGCACGCACTGACCTAGGAATCGACATGATAGTAGTACCATATACAGATACAACTGTTTATACTGCAACCGGACCCGACGGAGTTTTGACAACAGTCACATCTACTAGAATTGCGCAAATGCCAGTAGTTACGGTATCTGCTACAGCTGAAAATAACAGTAAAAGTGACAAAGTCACACTCGGAGTGGGATTGGGGCTAGGAATACCAGCTCTGGTTCTAGTGGCAGCCGGGGTTATTGTAGGGATTTCATTGCTCCGCCAGAGATCCGGGATAAGAAAACAAGCATCAGAGGAAGCAGGGATCGCAAGCTAGGACTTTAATAATTTTGGAGCCTTCCTTGGGAACTAGCCTAATTGTCGATGTCGAATATTATATTTTCACCGGACTCAACATTTCAAAATGATAGTAGGGACTACAAGCCCTTGTGATATTATATAGAACAACCACGGTCGAGTGAGTATCGGCAAGGGGTATGAAAGGAATATATGCAGATTACTCACCAGAGCAAGCTTTTAAATTAATTTATATTTATATTCTAGGAAATCTATATCTATAATGACATATCTAATCCGATATCCGATAGATCCTGAATCCCAACAACGTGTACAACCGAACCCGTTTGATACTAGTATAGGAGAATCCTTTCGTTACATACATTGTATATATAAATACCTAATTGAATATATATATTGCTCTAATTGGGATACCGAAACTCCGCTAGCATTAATTTACACGTTTCATGGCTGGTTAACCGATGATATTTAACAATCACAGAGAAATGGTTCACCGCACAGCACTGCAATGTCCTTATATACTCGAGTATTTTTACATATGGCTCCACATTCTTCTACGTCTTATCGACGACATATCCAGAAAAGATGCACGTAAACGGGGTTTCGAGGCTCGCTAGATATTCGAATTCTCATGATTATATTCGTTCCGGCTGTGCTGACCTAACCCATGTTAACTACTGCTTGTAGTCCCCCTTTCTACACAAACACCTGAATTGCTCAATTGCTCAATTTGTTTCCTGTGTTTCAGGATAGCCCTGAACATGCATAGAATAGCTCCAGTTCATATCCCACGCTGCTGCTAAGAGTAGTTCTCCCTGCAGAAGCTTATGCATGCGGCATGTCAGATCTCACACAAACGGCCCAGGCTGGGATTATTCAACACCCAAATTTATAACGACCACATCTGCAACACACAATTGCTTACATGCTCTTCCTTATTCGAATCGACCTTTGGGATAGGGGAATCTTTAAGGCTTCATCATTTTAGGGGGGTTTGGTTAATTCTTCCGTAGCACTGCCCTCAGGCTACAGGTGATACCTTGATTCACCCCACCATTACCTCTTTGCGATCCATCGTTTCAGCAAATGCAGGAACGGGCGAAAGAAACATTGCCGATTCCCCATGGCCATATGGTCCACGCACGACATATGCAACTTGAAGACCTACATAATATAAGAATTTATTTCTTTTCGGTAATTTATTATGGCACTCTCTGGTCCTAAAGATAACGAACCGGTCCTAGTGTTCAACTATGTTTCGGCCATGTTTGCAATTGGCGAAGGCTTAGACATGGAACTTGAGGAATTCAAGTATCTGGATGTGCGCACCACCACCACCCCTAGTTATATCAAAAAAGCCTTTGTCATATGTTACCGACGATTTGGATCCACCGTAAAGCAGTCAGCACATCTAACTGCTTTCGGTTGCTCGACTTCAGTATGTAAAGTAGAGAAAGAGGGGTAAAGGGTCAATGCGTACGCAGTGGCCCGGCTATCGTGTTCCTTCCCTGAGCCTCATTGGTATCCCTGGAATTCGGGATTTAACACTGCATCGGTTGTGAGATGTAGCTATGGCTTGGCTACAGAGACAAGAAGTGCTTATAGATTATAGGGGACCCCGATGGGTATGTTTATATATCATACCTCCCCCGCCGATCATGTCTACTTCCTTTCTCTTTTATCTCCATCCCTTTAGCAGTACTTCTCCACGATTACTTCTAGTTTTATTTTGTTAATTGTTAAGTCACTCATTTACTATTACATCATTTTACACAACTTTCTCTTATAATCGTCATTAACAAGCACGTATACTATTTCATTTCTTTTAATTTCCATCCGACATATATATATCCTTGGATGGTATAATTTCTATTTAACACAATAACAGTATAGCCTGCGGGCGCTTTTGAGACCCGCACGTTGCATTAATACATCCTCTATTAATATATTCATCATGTACTTCAACACTATCTTCCCAATCCTCTGTCTCACTTCCTCAATCACCTGTTTCACGATCCCCACCGGCAACAGCGATGATGCAAAAAAACCCCAGGATAGGGTTAAAGCTGGTAGCTGGCCTATTATTTCCGGTCCCGGCCCCGTTCTTATCGATGCCGCACAATTCCCTCCGCTCAACCCTTTGCGCAAAGGTAGAAAGAACCGTCGAGCTCTTGGGCCGAAAAGCGAGCCCATGCCGGATACACTTGGTGTTCACCCAGAGCAAGTAGCTCAATGGATGAAAGAACTCGACGAAATTCTTTCCGGAGAGTCTGGTGTGACCAAAAGGTCCGCGATCGACGGCTCGCCTGCTCAGAGACGCAGCGATGTCAAAAACCCCGGGTTGGAGAAACTTAAGAGACGATATGACACAGAAATGGCCAATGCCTGGTTCAATGTTGGTGGAGGGTCTCACAACGATTACCGACTTATCTTCGATCCTTCTCGTTCTGGGTTTGTTGAGGATATCGATTGGGGTAGTCCAGGAGGAGATGTCTCTCTTGACATGCCAGCTAATCAAAAAAGGGATGGAGTTGACTTGGTCCCAAAAGTCCCCCGTTCACCTATTGTCGATAAAAGGTCTCAAGCCCTTGCTGAGATCCTGGCCGCCCTTTATGATCAAGAAGATCCTAAGAAATTTGATGCTGGCAACCAAAAGTCCCTCGGCCGTCGTGCCCCGATTGGTGCCGTATCAACCCCGGCAGACGCAAAGCCAGTCCAAGACGAAGTCATCCGTCGTATCTTCAAAATTTCTGGAAACAACAAGAACAAGCGAGATCTTTCGCCGCGGCAGTCATCCCAAGAGGTGGCACAACAGATTCTTCAAACCCTCTTCCGATTCGAAGATGATGAGGAGTGGAAATGGAATGCACCAAGGGCTTCAGCTCGTAGACGTTGGTCAGAATTCCCAGAAATTGAAGAAATTTCTGAGGGATCACAACCTGAAAAGCGAGACCACAACAGTGGCCGCGGCATTTCAACCGATGAAATTGACGACCGTATCAAAACCGATGCTCGAGACCCCAATTCATACGCATGGCCGGACATCAGTCTAAAAGTTCGGGAAGCTCTTCCAAAGGAAGCCGACGAAGTCTCACAACGTATCATCGTTACCATCTTCCGCATGCAAGAGAATTTCAGACATAAACGAAGTCTCGTAGAAATTGAGCAAGTGGTTAAAGAAGTTGGCCTTGAACGACGTGGGTCTATCGAGTCCAATAACCAGTCTCCAGATTCGACCAAGACAACGAGCCATATTAAAAGTCTTTTTCAACCTGTGCACTGGTATAAACATAAAAGTCGAAGCATTGTAGAAATTGAGCAAGAGATTCGGGTTAGCGTTGAGCCACGTGGGTACAGGCTAGACGCCGGTTGGCTCGCACCTTGGTTCAATAGAAATAGTAATATCAGATTACGCTGGCAGTGGTTTAGAGAACATTTTAAGCACAACCGTCGACGAGATACTGATGGTCAAGATCCTGAGGCAAAGCTTCAACGCCGTACACGCTACAGCATTCCTCCCAAGCCCCTTCCTCGTCCTACACCCGGTTCTTACGATAATAACAAATGGAAACAATGGTGTCGACAACAAAGAGTTTGCATTCTCCCCTGGAACATTCGAAAACTCCAAAGTTCAAGAGGAATACTTCGAAGAATTATAGATTCTATCGATCGTCATTCTCAGGAAGAATCACAGATGACCAAACGAGATGTCGCTAGCGACATGCTCGCATGGCTTGAAAGCATCAATAAATATTTCGAAGGAACAAGAAACGGAATACCCTCAAGCCATGGCCAACCAACAATTACTTATGCCTCAGCAGCACCTGAGGAAAAGGTAGTCGATGGCCTTAAATCTGCGGGTAGTGTGGCTCGTAGACATGTCTCCCGCGACTTGGGGCCGGTCACTTTACCACAGCTTAGCGCTGAGTTTCTGGAATTAATTGACAAACTTCGTAAAGAGAAGTATGGCGATGACATACCCGATTCAATCGTATATCAAGCAGCTTCGGATATAATCAATGGTGTTTTGAAAATCTTTGCGCCTCTTAAAAAGCGAGACCTCTTCAACGGTATCTCTGGAATCGTGGATTCTATCAAACTGGCTCTCCGATGTAAAACCCCAATCCAGCCTCCACCTACAACTATTTTGGAGGCACGGGAGCCCAAGCCTCAAGGAGATGCAACTCGTAAACTTAGCAAGAGATATGACCTGGAAACATACCCATGGTGGAGTGGCAGCTCGGAAAATGACGGAGAAGACAATATCTCAACAAATCCTTGGTCAAAAGGGAACCCATGTGCTCGACTTAAAATTGCTGGTGGGTGTGGAGGAAGTTACAAAAGAAGCGTAGGGAATACTAGGAACAGAGTTGATAGGCTTCGAAAGAGGATAACGGAGGAAGATGAGAAAAATGTGAGTGAAAAGCAAACAATCGATGATGATCGGCTGGCCGAGAGAATCAAAGTCAGAAAGGGCGAGAAAATAAATCATGTACTAACAATTGCGTCAGCAAACTGGAAAGACCCTGGGTTCTTAAGACTCAACCCGTTCCGGGATTGGAAGAAGTTCTGGAGGGTATGAATTTGGGTTTGGAAGTTTTTATGAATATTCGAATTCGACTCACTCCAGTCACTCGTTTAATTTTTGTTCTTATTTGTATAAGTGAATGATGTTTGGTATTTGTATCTAAGTACTATAGTAGTTGAAACGTTGAGATACAATATTTCTGGTGGAACTAATAGCGGAGCCTATAGTATCTTCTTAATATAAGTATATATACATACTTATGAGTATAAGGAAACTGAACTCGCACCCATCTTACCTTCGGACCATAAGAAAACCAAAGATAAGATCTTTCTCCCATGTCCCTACTATCTATTGTATATAAATACCCCGAATGATGAGGGCACCAGGGTGTATGAAAGATGCGCACCCGCATGCTTCTCCCGCTTTTGATTGGTTCCTATAATTCTTAAGGGGTAGAATTAGTCAGATTTGCATATAAGATACATTTATATATATATACGATGCAAGCTTTCTAGGTTCTGGTGTCACCGATTTCGGGATGGTCATATACGTATACATCGTACCTGAATACTATATAAAGAAGACGCTGTTTGTATATGCTTACTTAATTACGAAGTATACTAGTATCGGAAGAATTCCAATCCTTGTAGGGTATACGGATGATTAGTGATTTGGTGCTAATGAACTCCTATGGAGTTCGTAATATATAATTCTTAAGTCGATATAACTGAACAAGGGATCCCTGTAACTACAATATATAGATATCAATGTTATCAATCAGACATGCAGTGCCGGCTAGTCCGACAGATAAGAATAAACGGCATGTTTCAAGACCAGATCCACTCGGAACCTTCCCTTGTTCAAACCCTAACGTGTCATCGGGGTGCAGGAAAACGAGATCGAACTGATTTCCACATTGTAACTCACAATTGTATAAACTAGGCCATGCAGCCTATCGGAGTTCGCGATGTGCATGTGATTGGCTAGCTATATCTTTTTGCCCCCCGTTTCAAGCATTTCATATCCGAGCCTCATCCCCCATGTATATGTGGATATTTAGGGTGTCACGGAGGGTAAAGCGTCTGCAACTTGACGGATCTGGAAGCCCAGATTGATATATTCGATCCCACCTTGGTGATGTATGGATATGAATTTCGATTTTTATAGATTCCTGACGTTGCATCGTCTCAAATCTACCAGCTCCTGACGTGACGATAGATTAAACTCTCAGCTGACCAGATACTGTATACCGTAAGCAGTGCAGCGGCCATAAGAATTCCAATTAATCTGTAGAGTTACAGTTACACGAAGATTTTGAGGTTCGAGAGTAACCATCCAATGTCGTACCGTTTGGGGCGCCGTGGCCCTGAATATTCTTCTGGATTGGTCGCCATATGCTCAATCGTAGAATCCATTGGTCAATTGACAGTTTTCGATAGCGATATTTTTTTGAGAATAGTGAGGATCGCATAATCTTGTAAATGGCACTTTAGATTACAAGAAAGCCCCATTTCGTCTATAAATATGGCGAGATAGACCTCTTCATGAGTTCAACATCAATCAACTCGACTGCAAGTTCCTCTCATTGAATAGTATTCCTCAGACCTACTTAACCAAAATCAATCAACCTTTTCACCTTATCATCAAGAACTACCATTTTACCCACCCAGTCTTTTCATATCCAAGACACCTAACAATGAAGGTCAATCTCATTTTCTCTCTTCTCCTTTTGGGAGCCTTTACGGCAGCTGCGCCTGCAGATTGGAAGCGTCAAGATTCTCCCGGCTTAGATGGTACTCCGACGCCAGGATCTACCGTTGACCGTGATTGGGGCCCAGGAAACCCCCCAGACGTCTGGAAGCGTGAAGCAGATGCCGCGCCCAAGTCAGGACCAATTACCAAGCCGGATTGGGAACCGTCTCATCCGGGGCACATCTGGAATCGTGAAGCCGCTCCCAAAGACAAGAAACCCAAGCCATGGCCACCATTCCGAGGTGGTAGAGACATCTGGAAGCGAGGTAGGACTTACAATCCTCTGAATGTTAAAGGCTTTTACCAAGGTGGATATTGAGTAGCCTCAAAGCTCAATGTCCGAAATAAAGAAGAGAAGGGAAAATAACTACTTAGATGTCTAGCTAACTTAGAGATTACAGATCTAATTAGCTACGTACAACGCGATAATCTTGATGCAGTTGGCAACCTTAAGCGTGCGAGCGCCCGTAGACCCCCCCCGAGGGATTCGAATAGACATAATACGAGCCCCGGGGGCCTCTGCAGCTTTACCAGATCCATGTGCATTGAGCGCTCAATTCGATATGTTAAAAACCGGCTGAAATATGTTGACTAGCTACTGGGGTCAATTCGGAACCGGTTGGGACGGGTAGAGGATTCGAGGCCTGTCAGATTTAAAGAGCTTGAGTGCAAAGATGGGTGTGAGCTGAATTGAAATTGATCAATTGAGGTTGGGTTAATCTGTTTTAGCATCAAATTTGAAAAGGCGGTTTGGCGGGATTTAATTATAGATATAGATATCGATACTCGACTAGTTTATATATAACACTTTGTATTATCCAGTTAACTTAAGTCCAGAAAAAATGCATTATCTTGATAACTGCAGTACTGCAAGCTTAGCTCTCTTTCTTACATAATAACAGTCTTTAGAGCTAAGATCCTTCAGCCGGCTTTGCCGTCCGCTCCATTGCATAGCATTGTAACCAACCTCTCAACGCAAAAATTGCAACAATCTGGACTGATTGATTGATCGATTCAGCTAGCTTAGTACCTACAAGGACATGACATCGTAGTGTGATTACTAAACCCGCCACTCTGACCCCAAGAATACGAATCCGTCGAGGTCTCATGCACACTAAGCACAAGTGATCCTGCGAAGCAATTCCGTGCTTGAATTTCTGACCTATAGGAATTTATTCATTTGAAATGAGGGGAGGGTTTGTCATCCAGTCGAGCCCCACTACGGTCCCGGAAAACTGGTTCAGGCCTTGTTTTGGCTTGTTAGTCGTGATAATGGTGGATAAAGACAGCATAAGCTCTGTATGCATATATACGAGCTCGAACTTGACTTACTAAGATATTATGGCGACAAAATATTGGGGTTCCCCGCAATGCAATCAGGCATCCCTTTCTTAGCTTCTGGACCGACCGGATAAGATAGGAAGGCCATTGCTAGGGAAGCTTGATTCGTAAATCGAGTTCAGAATATATAAATGCGTCGTGAAACCCGTCTATCGGGGTGAATAGTTCAGCGTAATAAACCATATCCAGCAATCAAAAATCAATCGCTATACAGGCTTATATTATCCTATATATAGCTCTCACTTCATACTATTGGAATAGCCCAATACTTCTTGGATTTTAAAAACTTTCAGATCTTAAAGATGCCACTTTCAACAAACGACCAAGTTAATACTACCGCTGGAGCCCTTGTTGGAGCCCTCCAAGGTGCTTTTGGCAAACACCCGGGATATAGACCAGGTATTTATTCGGAAACCAAAACTTATTGCCACTGCCTCGCTCAGAATGCTAAAACTTTGCTTTAACAGCACACGCTAAGGGAACACTCGTAACCGGTATTTTTACCCCCACTGCAGAAGCTGCTAAACTCAGCAAAGCCCAACATTTCAACTCACCCACACCCATAACTGTCCGTTTCTCGAATTCCACCGGCATACCCGTAATCCCAGACACGGACCCGAATGCGAGCCCGCGTGGCCTCGGTATTAGGTTCAATCTGGGCGGGCGTAAGCACACCGATATAATCACCCATTCCACTCCATTCTTTCCTGTGAAGACTGGTGAAGATTTCCTCGCGTTCTTAGGAGCATTGGGCGCAAATGCAGCATACAAGGGCGAAAGCCCCACGCCATTAGAAACATTCTTGGGATCTCATCCCGAAACATTGGCGTTCATTCAAGCCCCAAAACCTACAGCTGAGAGTTTTGTCGGATTGAGCTATTTCGGTGTCAACGCGTTTAAATTTGTCGCTACAGATGGTACCATTACTACTATTAGGTACCAAGTCCATCCAACCGTTGGTACTGAAGTCCTTTCGGCAGAGGCCTTGAAAGAAAAATCGCCGAACTTTCTTTTTGAAGAACTCCCCGGCCGATTAGCTTCGGGCCCGGTTGAATTGAAATTGGTGGCGCAAATCGCAGAGGAAGGAGATCCTACCCATGATGCGACAGTTCATTGGCCAGAATCCAGGAAGATCGTTGAGTTGGGCACCTTGAAACTGGAAGAGTTAGAGCAGGAGCCGAAGAACTCGGAAGATCAGAAGTATATTATCTACGATCCTGTTCCAAGAGTTGAAGGAGTTGAGTCTACAGATGATCCCTTGCTGGATATGAGAGCTTCGATTTATTTGATCAGTGGGAGAGAAAGGCGGGCGGCTCCAGAGTTGCAAATTTAGACATAACTAGCTAGACATCTGTTGCAGAATTTTGTATTCCGGTGCATCCCCCCTTTTTTTTCCCTCTCGTTTTTACTTTAGTTTACCTTTACAAAGCTTCTAAGTGCATGTATTTTGATACGTTTATGGAATGAGCGAGTGTTATATTTGAAATGAAATGTTAATGAGTGACTTGAATTGTGAATTGTTACCAAATGACTAAACTAAATTCTGAAACGATAGAAAAGAGACTCTTAGCGCGAACGTGGAGCCGACGACTGATCAGGTGAATGAAACTGTTAAAAGGGCTCGCCGGGCTATACGCTGGACGACATTTTAGGTGTGATCGTAGTTGTTCGGTGGTTATAGGTTAACGAGGCGGATCGATTACGATGTAAGCTCGTCCATGCTAACACTATCCTCCTTTGAACCATTGCTTCTTGAAGCATAGCTGGCTTCGAAGCAGATACCTGGGTGGAAAATGTTCAGGCAAAGACAGGCCAAAATAACCATTCTAGTATCGAAGGAGGGGTTAGTAAATTCTCAGAGCTTTTACTAGCAGAAGAAGTGAATACTCACGATCCTTCTAACACGATAAAATAAGTTTCGGTCGTCATCAAAGGACCATCCCAACCTTTCGCCAACTCTGCCACTCGATAAACGCATCGCACGTAAATGAAAATAGTCGCAGCGCCCATAGCATACAAGAAGTACTTGAACCTTTTGCTCTCTCTCAATCCTCGCTGTCGCTCGTCGAACATTTGTCGGCGATTCCAACATCTCAAGGCAAATTCTCCACAAAGAACCATGAAGAAAGTCATAGTAAAGACTTGAAATGCAAGTCCCCCGAGAGTAATATCGCCCCCGAGCTTAGAGCCTGCGTGATCATTTGAAGTGGAAGCGATAGCACCGCCAGCAGACTGGGTTATGAGGGAGACAAGATCGCAAGTAACGAATATGTAGGTATACCATCGGGGTTTGATTCGAGAGATGTCTTCGCCGAAAGCAATAACACTGTTTTGATTTGCAGAATATGTTGTTAGCATATTTCCGAGATTGATCGATCTTCAGCGTATACTAAGGTTTGAAAGGAGACTTACATTCGTGCCAGGCACAAGTAGATACCAGCTGCGTAGCAGGCAGGGGCCACGGTCAAACAACAAATTTGAATTATGAAAGATTGTCCTCCGAGGCCATTAAACGGATCACTGCTACCTCCAACTCGCCCAATGTATCCTACAACTTCGACTATTGTATTCACAGATGTATTAGTATATTAACTTTGACGTACCCGGCCTAGGGGTTATGGAAAACATTTTTAGGGGGCGATTTGTCGATCGAGTACGTACGGAGACCACCTAGACTCATAGCAATAAAGAAGCCCCATGTTTTCTTCCAGATACCAACGAAGATAAATCCAATTGTTGACAAAGAGAATAATACTAGTAGGACAAGATTGGGAGCTAGCTTTGGCGCAAACCCGTAAACACTGTCCGAGACCGGGCAAGTGTCGATTGTGCACAGCGCTGTATTGTTTGGTCTGATTGACTCGTCGCCGTTCCACACCATGGTGAATGATTTAGTCGTAAAGTCGCTTTTCAAAGGTCAAGAATAGTATAAAACAGCAAAATTAATAATATAATCCAAAAAATATAAAAGTAAAGATATCGAAAGGAAGGTGAGAGTAGTTAAGGTTGTCAGTTATATATGCTCTGTGGAAATGAATACAAGAACAGAGATTTCCGGACATCTTTATACCCTTAATGACTTTGAATTCTAACTAACAGCAGGAGTACTGGCTCAAGTCCGCTCAAGTTGCTCACCAATAGCAATGACAGTAATGGGATACCCAAGACCAGCCACAAAGTGGGAAAAAGAAATACCGAAACAAAACACAGTCTTTCTCGCAATGCCTCAGGAAAATCATGCTTCTACAGCTCAATGCAAGCCTCCGACTTGCGTAACGGCAAATAGCCCGAATATCCTATTTTCGATCCATAATTTTGATATCAGGAGAGAACAGTCACGCTGGGAAGCCTGCTTACAAAACATCATAGGGTGATAACTAAAACAAGGATGAGACTAGCAAATTAAGCTTAATCTTGGCTCGCCATCATCTACCGGCAACAGCTCGACAATTTTGGTCTATACAATGGCAGTTCAAAAAACATGCATGCATTCATACCTGAGGCTAGGTAATAAATTGTTGGTGCCATGGCGCCATGGCATGCATGTTTCTGAGAGGAATAACTGATGTATCTGTTTTTGGGGGCCCGAAATATGCGAAGGAGCATCCGCGCAGGCCTGGAAGCGTCGTAAGCTCTTTAATTAAGAAATCTCTTGTGATCAATAGTTGAGGGTTTGCACTAGAATCGATAGCCAACTGGTCGGGCCGGTCATATCTCTCGTATTGAAGAAAATAACACGGAAGTTTCAAGCGTTTCGTGTTGTTCTTTTGCTACACACTGCTTCTAGAATTCTGAACAGTAACTTTTTGAAGAAACGTCGGTGCATAATGAAAATTACGAGAGAAAAAAACGTCTATAGAATTACTGGACTTATTAAATATCTAGATATAACTGCTCGTGTTCCTAGTAATAGTGGTTCTGTTCTAGAATTCAAGATCGGCTATCGTGAGAGTCAATTGGTCAAGCCTAGTCGCAACACAGCTGCCCATTCGCGGTCTCTGGCTGCATTACGTACTCAACAGATCAAAACCACCAATATGCCTATCCTAGAGAATTTTTCCGGTCTGCGCTTCGGGCCCGCTACTGAAAAGGCTTACTAACAAGCCCATAGCACGCGAATGATGCACTACAGCTGAGCCCCGTTTACGACGTCCTCTTCTGTGATGTACGGAAATCCTTGGTAACGTTATGTCTCCGTTGTCGTGTCCACGTAATCCCCGTGAGAGAATTGGAACAGAGCTCGAATATTCAACTTCACAACGATACCCAACTTCATATATGAGCTCCGATAGCGCGGTTTTCCAAAAGCGCGCTAAGAAAAATTAAAATAAAATAAAAAAAACCACTTGCATCCTTGTCCTTGACTAAACATATTTGAAGAGCCAAATGTCTTGTCTATGATTGTATGTTTCTAGTTTTTCCTCTTTCTAACCCTGACTTTCAAGCCACCATCCATCGGTAAAGTCAAACTATTCCTGCTTCTCCTTCTTCCGATTTTTTCTACCTCCTCGAACTCCCAGTTCCTTAATGATTCTCCCAATACCCATACACCCATAACCTCAGCCATACGTCTCCCCAAACAACTCCTTGCGCCGCCATTGAAAACGGGGTATTCAGATGCACTTTTGACCTTCAATTTGACTTCCTCAATCCCGTCGGTGAGAACAGTTCTTTCAATCCATCTATCAGGTCTAAAATCATAGGCATCATCGCCCCATATCCTTTTCGACCGACCGTACGCGTAGGGACACCATACAACAACGCTCTCGGGAGGCAGCATAGTTCCATCAGGAAGTGTCATCCCAACCGGGTTGAGAGTTTGCTTGAGCTCAAAAGGCACAGGTGGGTATAATCTCAGCGTCTCGAGGAATACTGCATGACTCCTCGGGGTCAATGTAGTGCTCAAACTGGAGTAGGTGTGAATTGCGGCAGCTGGAAGCTCGTCTGTGATATAAGGTATAAACTCTGGTTGTTCCAGTAGAAGATGAAGCACCCAAGTCATAGAATTTGCGGTCGTATCCCGTCCAGCGGATAGGAAATTAATCGCGGAATCGGCAACAACATGGTGTTCTGGGACGGCATCTAAGAGCATGTCGACGAGATCACCACCTTCTTCCGTTGGTTCGGTCCCATTATGGATCGATGTATCATCGATTTCTCTGCGGCACACCGCAAGGCGGACGATTTCGTTTCCAAAGGACTTTACTATCGAAACTGCTTTCCGGAATTTCTGGCCAAATAAATAATAGTTCAGTTTCCATAGTGGATTCTGAAAACGAAGGCCCGTGAGATCGGACGCATAGTCAAACGCCGCCGAGAAAGGATGTGAATTCGACAAGTCCATCTAAGTTAATAAGTTAAAAAGGCTTCTAAGTTCTGTCGCCTTGAAAGTATGGAAAGCTTACACCAAACGCAACTCTACCCATAACCCGTGTCGTAAATTCCAAGTATAGCTCCTCCATATCAACGATTTTCCCAGTCTCCGCCGCCTCGTCTAGCTCTTCTCTCGCCTTCTCCCAAAACTTTGGAAAGACTTCATCGACAAGAGCTTGTAAATGCGACCCAGCGAAAAATTTATTCCCCGCCTTTCGTTGGATCTTCCATAACTGGCCTGATGCATTGATGATTCCATGCCCTGCAGATATCTCGCCAATAAGTCATACATACTAGAGGCTTTTTTTTAACAAAAGAACAGAATTCATACTACCAAATAAATGCCAACTTCGTTCTTCAAAGAACGGACCCTTTCCAAAACCTTCACTTCCCTCCTTCTTCATTATGAACTCCAAAACATCAGGATTACTGACCACTATACCCGGTGGTAAAGTCGGCACCCTGATCTCATATGTTTCGAACCCAAAAATCTCATTTTGAATTTTACTAAACCAGTCAAACAGTGACTGTCGGTCCAACAAAAGAAACTTGAGGCCGTTGCCAAATACAGGGAGTGTTCCGGGCGGTGTCCTAAATTTGATCAATCAATTATGTAAGAAAGAAAGATATATATCTCTTTGTGTTGACAAAATGGAACCTACCGTAGCGATTTCCCGTCCCGAGTTATCTTGTGCGACTGTCGGTAGACCAATTGCTTAACTAAATAGGCCAGGCTGGCGCTGGCTATGACATAGGCGGCAAGCATTGCATCTCGCGTGGCCAGGCTTCTTTACCACCTATACTCTTTCGTGCGCTCGACCTCAATTTACTTCGACGAGACTGAGATGAGTTCGTTGTATGCAACTATCGGGTTGTCGATTCAATGCGCTCAGGATCATGCTATTACCAAGGTTTTGTTGGGATTTAGCGCGGGGCAGCCGAATTTAAGCTCCTGCAGCCCGTGTCTTGTCCTGCGCAGCCTAGGCCTGTCGGATCCCGGAGTGTTAGAAAGGGCTTCTGATCGTCAAAGCAACAGAAAGAAAATTTGGATTGATTGAACTAGCCATGCAATGAGCTGACTTTTACCTGTAACCTGTACCTGAGCTGGGGTGCTGCCGTCACTGTTCGTCATTTTAGTCACCTTAAGTGCAGGCTTGGAAGGTGCTGCGCTGCGGCGAAACATTCAAAACCTATTAAGCACGTGAAAGTTCTAGAACAATTGCGGCAGCAATTGGACAACCACAAACAAATATCAACATGATACCTAGTAGCTCGTAGGTAGACGCTTAGTTATGCACTTGCATTTGGTGTCTTGCCCAATTGAAAGAAAGTGTTCTAGTAGCCCTTTTCTGTAACCTCTCCCAGTAAGGCTGATGGATTATTGGCAGTTAATTCTAGTATACATATTAACTCGAGCCTGGTCTCGTTCCCAGACTTCAAAGGGCAACCTCGAGCCCGAGTGCATGGGAAAATGCAACAAAAACAACACTAGCTGAGCCACTCGAGACGACCGTAGTCATAATTTTGTGTTGGAGATGCATTGGCGTAGCCTCGAGGCTAGCATTTGCGGGCCTTTAGTTTCGCCGGCCATCTAAGCCGTAAAGAATAATAAAGCGGGGTTTCAATCCAATTATTATTGAAGAGGCTAGAAAAGAGGAAGGGCTGGAAAAGAGCTATCTCTTCCAACCTATAGTAAGGTTTTTTTAATTTTTTTTTTATATCCGTCGATCGATCGAGGGTGGCAAAGCGCCCGGCTGTTGGATTTTGATAGAGCTGCGCTATTGGATAGTAAATCAAGGGTTATTTTTTTATATGTATATTCTGCGCTGTCTAACTTTGTCTCCAAGATATAAAATCGGATCTTCTTGCTTTCCTTTCAGCCTTGTTTAGCAATGACACTCCAAACTCCCAAAACTCCCTGGCCATTATATTTAGTTCCCTCCCTAAGTCCCTCCAGCCTCTTGACCCTCCTAACAAGCAAGCCAACCCCGAGAGGTCCCAGAATCGTACACAGCATAGCCGCCCAAATCACAATCAAAAAGATATCCCCATCAGCTTCTCCAATTGTTGTGTCCGCTCTAGCTTCCAAATCCCTAGTGGTGGTAGGATTTTGAAAAATACCATTTGCAGAAGCAACCGAGGCGATTAGAAATGCTATTTCCCCTCTAGAAATCATGGCCAGGCCAAGTATGAGACACGGATAGATTGAAATTGGTGGACGTGGGATCTCTGTTTGAGGACCAGGGTTCGAGGGCTCAATAGTAGACTGGCTTTTATCTTCAGATTCTGCTTCTTCATTCTTTTTGTTTGAAGGAGCGACGGTTGGTCGGGATGCAGGAGCGATGTCTTCCCACTCATCTGCAGATTCATTTGGTGCGTTCAAACTCTGTTGAGTATTCGGAGGGTTGGTTGTAATCCCCCCCTCGTCCTTAGACGACCCTTTCTGCTGCTTGGATATCTCCTTCTTATTATTTTGCTCGCTCGGCTCGTACTTTCCAGCCTCTTTCGTCCAAAAAGAGAGCAGTTTACTTGTTTTGAAGGGTAAGTCGACGAGTAGAATCCAAACGCCTGTCACCAATTTGGCGACGAACATAAGAATGGAATATACAATTCCTCTCCAGATAATCTCTCGCCTAAATAAGGACTTGATAGGGATACTGAACCCGATAGAAGCCTAAAATAGTGAGAAATGAGATATTAGCGGTCCACCAAATTCGTTTAGACGCACAAACTAGGATTCCTCACAAAAAAGAATGGAATAAGAATCCTTTCCACTGATGACGAGAAATAAGCATCGTATATTGCAGCTCCGGCTGTCTCTTCGCTTCTCTCACTGGCTTCTTTAGCACCGTCTTGGGCCTCATCCCACCAAGTAACCAGAGCGCCAGCAATGAAGGCTCCAAATAACACTGATGCACCTGAGTATCCCGCCACAACGACACATGTCACCAATACACCGGTCTGCAGACCCCATATAACCCCTTTGCTATCGAACCAGTGGAGTAGTTTCAGACCTCCGAATAACCTGCGGCACATCCACCCCATGACGATAGCTCCTAATATCATCCCGAAACTAGCACCAACAGGTCGAACGATAGAAGTAATATTTACTCCACCTCCTCCTCCCAAACTACTAACAACTTGCACCATTACCAGTCCAACCACATCATCCATCATTGCGGCAGAGGTGAGTACCACACCCAGTCGGGTTCCTGCAAATCCGGCTGTTGACAAAATTGTAAACGTCGTACCAAGAGATGTAGCGGACAATGCTGCTCCCGCTGTAAAACATTGTAGACTACTAGCATTCGCAATTGGTCCTAGTAGGAACGAAAGGCCAATTGGAAAACCAATCCCCGTGATCGCCACCACAATCGATAGCGGCAAATTGCTCAAGAGGGGTTTAAAAGATGTGCCAAGACCGCCATTGTAGACTAGAATAATAAGGCCTAGATAACCTAGTAAAACTGCGGAGGCTTCAAGGTCTTGTGGAAGCCATGCGAGTAGTGGGGTTCCTAGGATGGTGCCTATGAAGATCTAGGGTTTTAGTTTAACTCGGACGAGGAATACATAGGTGAAATTTTATGTGTTGAGGGTTGGATTATTCACGTACTTGTCCGATAAGGCCGCAAAAGACGAGACGATCGAGAGCCCAGTTTCCGAGGTTGAGAGTTAGAAGGAAGCCCGTAGTTATCAGGAGGGTATTAATATTGGGCTCGTGATAAGGGAGTGAGGATGGCATGGTCGGTTATGTCAGCAGTCGCAATATATGCCCACAGTACACAGCTGATAGGAAAGGTCTTTAATGGAATTTGAAAGGAACTTTCTTGGGTTAAGTGGAAGAAGAAAGATAGCTGCTTTTTAAATAGGAAAGTTCCCTTCGAAGCCAAGCGAGCAGAATTATTTCCAATACCGCGACCCGGTCAAATCGACACGACTTATACAGCATGTTTTTTGTATATTAATATCAACACTAATATAGCTATATAGCTATATATAGCCGGACACCAAAGTACTAAATACAAGTCTGAACATTATGCTGGAGTAGAACAGGCTCATATTTAGCCAGGGATAGTATATACAGCAATGAGCCTACAGCAAACGTAAACACGAGTGAAGATATCTTAGGCTGATAGATCAATATCGAGAAGGTATGCATAGAGCCGTACTTTGTACCTGGTACGATTGCGCATGCGCTATCTATACAGAACCTCGCGAGCCGTTTTCCGCTAAGCCTCCTTGCGTCCTCCAGCTTCCAAACCATTGTTTAATACGAATTTTATTTGACCAAATCACTAGTATACTCGTGGAAATCACTAATAGCACAGCTGCAAGGCCTATGAACGCCAGAATAGTCGGCTGGGTTCTATCACCAGTTATCAAATCGACGTTCATTCCGAAAATTGCCTATTATATCTTATCAGCTTCAGCAGAAACATAACTCATAACCATATGTATCCGAATACTTACTGCTGCTATCGAAATAGGTAGGTATATAAACGTAAGAGAGGTGACATCGCTAGAGCTAGAAGCAAAGTTATTAGCGGACCTGCTTTCTTCCAATGCAGCTCGAGAGTCGTATAACGTGGCTATATTGAAAATCTATGTTCATATAAGGTCACAATTAGTGCGTATTAACAACCATAAGCTAAATTGGTAATACTAAAATTCGATTCATGACCAATTTAAGATTAATAAATAGACTCATACCAGGCTGATATGGGATTTCGTCTTCTCGATCAGGCCTCCTATCGTATCGATATGATCCTCAAACATTCCTCTCGGTTTCCTGAGACTAGTTGCTATAATTCCCTGTAATCCTCCAGCTATGATGAATGGGTGGTTCATGATATCCCTAGCCAATTTTTGCACTGCAAGAACCCGGCAGTGGGCTTCACGCCAGAGGTCGAGGAGTTCGTGAAGCTCGCGGGTGGTTTCCACTAGGTCTTGAAGCAATGGTGCCTTTTCCAGGTTCGGTCTTGTCTATGGGTCGGTGAGTTTAGTTTTAGGCACGCAATTTTAATGAGCTGGGGCTTATGCAAGTTAAGATTCCAAGGCATACTACTGATTTTAAGTTCCGCTCCGCGTCTTGTAAAAACTGCGAAAATATCAACGCCATCATGTACATGACACTTGATATAACACCGACAATATGATCAGATTTCGGAAGGGGCAGGCTATTTTCGTCTCCGAGAAGGAGTGTCTTGAGTGCCACCGAGAGTACGGTATCTACTGGGTCAAGAAACAAAAGAGAGTAGTAGGTATCGTTGGACCGGCGTTTCGCAAATAAAGATATTCGACTGACAAGCCATTCTCTTCTCGCTCCAGTTTTAGGATCGAAGAATGAGAATTTGGGAGATGTGCTGACTCTCGAAGCTTCGGATGGCCTGTCATCCCCGGCATATTGTCCCAAAAACTGGAAGCTGAAAAATATACCTATTAAGCTATTAGCCGGCCTAAATCGTGTTCTGGGAACCAAATATATGGAAAGGGTTCCTCGATACACACTATCTTTAGTTCCCCCGTCAGTTTTCATGATTGAACACGGGATATCGAAGAAAAGGGGGGTGACACTCCGATAGAATCCTAGAGATTTGATAACATGATATGAAGCATCTTGAACAAGGCTACATATATGCATCACAGAGCATAAATCGTCAACGATAAATGTGGTGGCCAAGATCTAGAGTGTTGAACGGTTGATATTTACTCAAGACAATGATCCCCGGGTGCCTTATTCTATTCATAAAGGTTAGCTTGACCAATTGCTGCCCAGAAAATCAACAAGTGTCAATAGGCATCTGTGAAGTTTCGAAGGCTCGTAGAGATTACCAACCGAACCTCAGATCTTAGTAAACTCAAAAGAGTCTCGAAACTTTTCACCGGCTTGCGGGCGGTTTTGCAGCGAAACCATCTCGCCCCATCATTTCCGGTTGACCTGAATATCTCGACCTTACATTTATCGACTTTCCCAAGACGTTCCAAAAGCTCCTTCAAGTTTGGGTACGGCCATACTTGGTAATTTGGCCAATCAAGGTAATCATTGGTGGGTTTAGTCTGGTTGGGTGCTACTGATGTGATTTTACTGGAACTAGACCCCTGAGACCCGGAACTTTGCGTCCCTGCAAGCAGCTGTGACAGAGGCGGCTGCTGCACCGGTTCTTCGGAGGGTTTGGAACAACGATCGCAAACGTTGTTATCGTCAAAAAATCCCAAGCAGACTACTCCTTTGACAGTTCGAGAGCACCTCTCCTCAAAAAATACCCCCATAATATAATATACGAAACGAGAACTTATTAAAGGGGCTATTCACCCAGGCTAGAGGTTTTCTGGTCAAGGAGGACTCTGAATTTCCCTCCTAGCTCCTTCAGTTAGGTTCCCCTGCGCCTGCAGATTCTCGCTTTGCACCCTTGCTGGGCAGGCCTGGTTCAGCGTGTGTAGCTATAGCTGCATGCTCATCTGCAGGAATTTCAAAAGGATAGTACTAGTACGTGTCGTTGATGGTACTTGTAGTTGATGAATGAGTATAATATCCTGAGATGCCGGATGCCCATATGGGACAAAACGGAGGAGTTATATCAACTCAATGCGCCGTGGTAAACTTCCTCAGCCTTGCAGAGTAGTGGGCGGAGTATTTACATTCCTGCATGGACACGTCTACCTGCATAATGATAACTCTCTCTAGCTGTAGATAGTTCGGCTGAGTACACGGCTGGTACCCGATCAGCTAACTTTACTCATGAAAATAATTTTATTATGAGGAATCTATACTAGTCTAGGGGACGCTCACATCTGCCTTACATCGGCTCCCTTGTGAGGTCCAATTTACATTCACACCTACGATATAAATCCGTACGGCTATGCGCATATGCATCCCGGAACTTCATCGTAAACTAAAATGTTAGTCGATCTAGGTAATATGGATATATTCTTGTATTGAAACGTTTTGGCAAGCGGCTAAGCGTAGCGAAGCATATGGAAAATCTAGTGCATGTACATCTCTGCTCAATATCAAATGTCGTTATTAGCCTTGTGCCCTTGCTACGGTACGTGCGAGCTTAAGAAAGGAAATGCTTTCCGGTCCCGTATATAGAAAGTAATTTACGAGAAATACAAAGATCGCGTCTCAAAGATATATAGCCACCCATGCCCTATACAACTCCGTCTAGAATGCAATCTCACATGCCGTTCCCTTACTCCATTCGTCTATCTGTTATTCCTGGGCCTCTAAGCCCTCTAGAACGTGCGGCCTCACAATCAAGGTCATAAGCCTACTCCAAGACCATGGTCCCTCCTCAGGATTCGAAGTGGTCATACTGTTAAAGTACTCCCAGCCCATAACTCCACCGAAGTTGTCGGGATCCTTGTCTCTCATCTCGGAGAGTGTATCACAAAGTACATCATCCGGTACCCAGCCAGCCCCATTCCCGGGGTTAGTGACCACCCCGACCACGATTTTCTTCGGATCCCATCCGCACATCAAGATCTTCTCGTAGTCCGCAATGCTGTTCATACTACCCCATCCACAATAAAACTGCGCGTTGTACCATGAAATATACCTTCCAAACGCCTTTTCTAGCTCAAAGTATGAGAAACCCGAGAGGTGTGGACGAAATAATTGAAGTCCCGTAGCGACCGGTGCCAACGTGATTATGAAATCTCCTCCAAAATCTTGCTTCAACCGGTCTATAAGCCGTATAACCCCCGGCAACGACATTTGTTCCTCGACATCGAGGTCCAACCCATCAAGCTTAGCATACTCGATCATTTCCTTCAACGGTCCGTAGAAGGCTTCAAACCGGTCCGTGGGGCCGTCTAGACGTGTATAACTCCCCTTAGCAGCACCTCCGAGCATCCCGAGGATTTTTACCCCAGAAGCTTGTAGTTGTTTACACTCCTGCCAAAGCGGCTCGTGTTTTGGCGCGTTGTACGGGTCATCGTTGAGAGTTACGTCAGCTGGTAAAGCGTTGAGATGGATCGCAGCGATTATTATGTGCGTTACACCGCATTCTGGGGCTAGCAGAGGGAGAATGGATACGAATTTGCCGTTATGATAGTGGGTTTGGTGATAGCAGACGATGCGGGACTGGTGGGGTGGTGAGGGAGCAGAGGAAGGGTCGGCGGAGGGGAGGACTGGCGGCATATTGTCTCGGTGGGAGAAAGGTGGGATGCGGCGGGGTGTGTTAAATTCTGTGAACTTCAACACCAAAACAATTAAAAACTATATTCAATACAACGGTTAACTGTCGATGTGACTTGAAGACACCTACAACTTGTGGCTAAGATCCTTAATAATGAATAGGTGCGCGCGACCAGTAGTTAGGCTAGCTACAGCCATCAGGCATGCTTCACAGGGGACCCGGACATATGTTGACAGTAGCCTCGCCGAGAACGTCAAAACGGACCTTAAGAATGTGAAAAAGAATTCGAAGAAGCAGAAGCGTTCAAAGGTACCAAGAAAGAATCCCATTACCGGTGAACCAATCGAACCACCGTCCGGCAAAGTCGAAATCAAGGGACATTCAGTGCTTCTAGGAGCGCGGTTACGTCGAAGTTTTCTCTATGGTATGTTCGAATTTCAACTTATTCTAAATCATATACACTACATGCGCTAACTATCGTCACTGAATATAGTACCAGCGCATAATGAAAGATTCCTGGAGAAGGCGCTCAAATCAGCCGCAGATTGTATCGTCTTCGATCTAGAAGACGGCGTCGCTCCGTCAGAGAAAAAACAAGCCCGTAAAAATCTTAAAAATCTGTGGGAAAGGCTCGCTACCGAGGGATATAGAATTGGAGAGAACCAAGGAGCTGACCTGTGTCTCCGAATCAATCATGAAGGGTGGCTAGGCCCAAAGCAATGGGAAGGCCCCTCAAAAACGATACAAGCACCATCTCTAGAAATTGACCAAGATTTGGATCTCCTTGTCTGTAGCAATTTGATCACCAAGTCCCCGTAAAACAATTATTGCTAACTAGATGGTAACTTAGGCGCTTCGAAGTGTCCTCAAACTAGGGGTTAATGTGGTAGCACCCAAAGTTAACTTCCCTTACGATATTAGAAATATAAGAGAACTTGTTTTACAGAAACAAAAGGCAGTCGTGGACCCTAGTCGGCAGATCAAAAGATTGGAGATGATTCCGACAATTGAAACTGCACTCGCTACCCTCAATCTCGGACTCTTCCATTCACACGCAAAACAATTCTCGGCCATGGTGGTATGAAAGATTCTCATGTCGTTTTCGAAGGAGGTGTTGATCTTCAATGTGGACTAATAACATTATACACAGTTCGCATCAGAAGACTATTGCGCATCCATGGGAATTCCTCGGACACAAGATCATTCCAATATGCTATTTGCTCGGAGTCAGCTAGTGCATGTCTGCAAAGCAAGCAGAAATACTCCCATAGACATGGTATAGTGATCTGTAGCCTTTAAATCTATGTTGCTACAGCCCACACTGACCAGATTTGTTTATGATCCTAGGTCTGCCAGGATTTCAAAGATCTGAGTATACTGGAGAAGGAATGCGAAGAAGGAGTGTATTTAGGCTTCGAAGGCAAGGTACGATCTTCTAAATCCGATTTTGCACTTAACTATACAATACGGGTTTCTGACGAGTGAATATAGCAAGCGATACACCCGGACCAAATCGAAACTATCAACAGAATATTTTCTCCCAAAATTCAAGAAGTCGAATGGGCCAAGGCACTTTTGGAGGCCGTAGAGAAAAACAAAACAGATGGTGCATTCGAGTTTGAAGGCAAGATGGTGGACCGACCAGTATTCAGGAAAGCGGAGAATATTCTCGAGATATCCAACCGGATCGAGAAATTCGAAAAAGATAAATTTGTTACGAAGCTAGAATTCTGAAGAAATGCAAGTGTACATATGCCAATCGCTAGTAACTTACTTGACCACTTAGCATATGTAGTTGTATCATACACGCTTGAATCCAAAGTCTTATTTCTTAAGTCCGATATCAAAACTGTTAGCCCAGGCGCGCAGGGTTCTTCCGGACCCACATACCCACAATCACGCCATGAAACTAATGCAATCCAATGCATCGATACTCTTGACTAACTGCCTTTGTGGGTGAGTACGTCATCCGAACCCGCCCGATAGCTATCGATAGGCGCTGATAGACTATCATTCAAACCCAACGCACAAAATCCCACATTAATACTCTTTCCTCTTTTCATCCCGTAGGCCTTCCAATATCTATAAAATTCGGGGATATCAGTTGCAGATCATATATAAACTTATCCAACAAGGACATTGTGAACAGGTAAAGTGTTTTCCTAACGGGTTTAAATTACTTCGAGGGTCGCTGTCCGCTAATTCAGAGACACCCCACAGTCGCACAGGATTGAAATCTTCGGCGCTTCCCCAAGTCTTTCGTTTAGTTACATATATCAGCAAAATCCACAAGTTACACCGAGTATCATTATACTCCAGGATCCGCAGCCATAGTAGGTCCGGGTTCAAGAAAAGTAGTGAAAGGGATGCGCAACGCTTTAAAGGAGATAGCGGAAGCTATCAAACAGCGAACCAATCCCATTCGCGACTCTTTTCCGGGTGTAATAAATCATCCTACTCATGGCCAAACAATTCTGAATACCGATGAACCTCTGCTTGCAGAGCCTCTCGAACGAGATGTTTTGGCTTATAGATATCACCATGGGACGAATCTCGGGGCCATTTTTGTGGCGGAGAAGTGGTTGTATGGGAATTTATTCCCAGAAGGGGCTACAGGGGACAGTGAACTAGATGCTGTGAAAGCGTATGTTCCCAATAGTCTCATACGTTTCAGAGATCTCGATCTATGTGTATACTTTATACTAATATACGCAATTCATATTACAGCCAGGTCAACCTCCACGGCATCGACTCCACCCGCCAACTATTCGAAACGTTTTGGTCTACAACTATGACCCCAGAAGACTGGGTATTCCTGGCCAATAAAGCTTCTGTAACCACAGTCCGACTACCAATCGGCTACTTTAGCCTCGGTCCGGACTTTTGTCGCTCAACTCCCTTTGAGAAGTACAGTGGAGTCTACACCAACTCCTGGCTGTATATCAAACAATACATCGTCTCCGCTGCTTCCCATGGGATTGCCACGCTCATAGACCTACACGCTCTCCCCGGTGGTGCCAATTGTGATTCTCACTCTGGGACTTCTAGCCATAAAGCCGAGCTATGGGGCAATTCAAAGAATCTTAAACTCGCCATCGAATGTCTCAAATTCATCGCTCATGAAACGAAAGACATACCGTTCGTTATCGGGTTACAACTTGTCAATGAAGCTGTGTATGGGGCTCATGGGATGTATGAGTTCTATGATCAAGTAATTGATGAACTGGGGAAGATTAACCCGCATTTGAACGTTTATATCTCCGATGCATGGGATATAAATATTGCGCTGCAGTATTCAATTAAGATGAATGCAAGGGGAGGGTGTCGTGTTGTTGTAGATACGCATAAGTACTACACTTTTGCTGAGGAGGATAAGAAGTTGAATCCACATCAGATTATTGACAAGGTGAATTTGGCCGAGGTAGAGAATAACAAGGGGAAAGGCGCAGCAGTAGTCATCGGGGAGTATAGTTGTGTGATGGATGGAAGAAGCTGGGGAAATATACAAGGAAACGAGAGGAAGGAGTTAGCGACAAGATTTGGCAAGAAGCAAACGGAAACATGGTGGAGGGGCTGTGGAGGAAGTTTCTTCTGGACGTATAAAATGGTAGGCTCTCGAATCCAGCCACTCGACTATCATACCACAGGATTTAGAAGCTAACCTAAGATTAAAACGAATAGGCGTGGATGCCAGGCGGAGAATGGGGCTTCAGCGAACAGACGAACAACGGCGCAATCCCGGCCCCTCCACTTGCAGCAGCTGATAACACCGCCGTTCAAGAAGGGATATTCAAGGCCTCTAGATCCAGAGAGGATCTTAAAAATGCTTCAATGGCTCAACATACAAATTACTGGAACCATGCTTCCCCCGGGCAATACTTTGAGCACCATCGATTCCAAGACGGGTGGGAAATGGGTTTTAATGACGCCCTAATATTCTTTACCTATAGACTCAATCGAACCGGTGGTGGGATCACAAGAACAGGGGCAGACAGAATTGGTATGCTTGACTTGTGGGTGAAAAGGAGAGAGTTAGAATACGAGACTCTAGAAGTTCGAGAGAAAGGTAGAGCTGTTGATAAGAAGTTCCTTTGGGAATTTGGCCACGGGCTTCGACAGGGTATCAAGGACTTTGAGCATGTCGTTGGATTCTGCTGATGCAATCATTTTTTAAATTTCATTTTTGTTTCTTCTGCGACGTCTGTTCTTCGAATGCATGGTGGAGTAGTCATTTCTCCGAGCAAGATTGAAGTGGCAGTGCATGAGATGCTTCGGTATGGCTGGGGTACGTCGTTTGTAACGTAATCAGGCGTTTTTATATTGGTAACGAGGCCGAATAAGCCGCGAACTAATGCAACCATTCTTTTTTTCTGGAAACTCAAGAGATATCGGGAATCTCGGTGCAAATTAAGGCTCATAATAAGGCTGAGCTGTACATACAAAAGATTAGCTCATGTGTAGCTTGACCCCTGTCGGTTCAAATGGTATTCATACGAATTCATTTCGAAGTCAAGCACCCTCGCCCATCCGCCTACGAATGCTCCCGTCGTGTATACGTAAACAGCAATTACTCCCAATCAATCCAAACAAACTCAAAAGTATAAGTTCCTGTCAAATGCGAAAAAGTCAAATTCCAGATTTAGGAAACATGTGCCCTCAAATCGAAGAAAACAATCCCTCGCTTGCTTGCTATGCACAGTTATTCTAGCTTCCAAGTGTCTTGGCCCCTTGAAGCTTATGACGACGGTTTTGCAACAAGGGTATTCTGAATACGAGCGAAAGGGGTAACTGTCCGGCCTCCAAACATCATACATCATACACACAACATCATCATACAGCCTTATACCCACCACACTGAAGCTCCCCCATCGGCCAAAAAGGACGATTCCGGCTTTGGTCGCCTGCATGCGCCCCTGCGTAAAGGTCCGCATTTCTTGATCTGTAGCTAGCTCGAGCCAGACCTTGCACAGCAAAGTTGCACAGTACAGGACTGTAATTGGTCGAACCCCAGAGCGGCCGTTTCCCAAGGGATTACATATAAAAGAACAGAGCCTCCTCGCGTACTTGAGGGGTTTTTTTAGATCATGCCAAAACTAGGTGCAGAACTGGCTGGCGGAAATATCATCCAGTTTCCAATTCAAATTCAGACTCTCGACCTTAACAGTGGTCTATCGCCGATATCAGCTGGCGACGGTTCCTCAACCACTAACGGCAACAACAACAACGCGGCGGCATCTGTGTCCCGTTCTGGCGGAAGTGGTGCTTCAGAATCTGGACCGGATTCAGAACTGGTAAACACTGCAGGAACTGAGAACAATGAGCAAAATGGAAGTGGAGGTCATCCGAGGGGGAAGGAGGCGGCTATTAAACAAGCACATCGAAGGACGCATAGAAAGAGTCGTATGGGGTGTGGGATGTGTAAAACGAGGAAGGTGAAGGTATGCTACCTTACATCATGTAATCTCAACTGTTCGAATGCTATTATTTTCACTATTCTTCAAATAAGTTGGTATGAAGTATGCTAAGATAGTACATATATCCGTAGTGCGACGAAGGAAAACCTCGCTGCGGGAACTGTCTGGACCGTAACGAGAAATGCGTCTATGTAGCCCCCTCCCACTCTCGCCCACAGAGGCCTGTAACATTTCAGACGTCCTCTCGGTCTTCAGATAGCGGAGGTAGTAGTCACCCTGCGACCCCGCCAGAAGTTTACGATGACGGCGAGTTCGACGAAATCATCCCTCGACCTGGTCCGGAATATACAACCAACCGAGTTATCAAAGTCGACTTATCTCCACATTTCGCACTGGTCCCTGGTCGCCCTGGTCGCCCGACAAATGAAGCAAAATTGTTACATCACTGGATAACAGTCACATGTAGTGGCGTGCGTTTCCCAAATCGTTCTTCAACTGCAGAACTTATGAGGGAAGCTATACCACAACTTGCAGCATCATATCCTTTCCTTCAAGATGCATTACTCGCTTGTGCTGCAGTACATTTAATCGACCGTACTGCTGTTGAACCCCAAACTCTGGTCGGCTCAGCTAGCTCAAAATACTTCACCAAAGCTCTCCGGTCATTCCAGCAAATCCTTTCAGAACCGGAAAAAGTCGCAGAGAGCGCCGAAGCAGTCTTTGCAACATCGATGCTCATCGCCCTCTGGAACGGCATGAACGCATTCCATCATTCCAATAAAGATGAATTCTATGACGATTTCGTACGGTTCTTCCGTATGAGCCAGGGTACTAAAACTGTTGGCTTTAACTACTGGAATCACCTCGACGGAACACGATGTAGACGTTTAATCGAAGCTCGCGAGGGTGCAACAGTTCTTGACGAGGAGCTCCCCGATTTCTTAAAAAACGAACGACTGATGCTGATATCCAGCCGTGTAAAAGACGGTATAGACCAGGAAGTCGACGATCCAGCCCTCCGTGAAGTCTATAGAATCACAATGAGCCTTATAGAATGGGTTCACGCTGCTCTCTTAATCCCAACGAATACTATCAGCGAACTTGCAGGTCGTGTTAATACTTTCCCTACAATGTGCCCAGGGGCATTTGTGACCTTACTCGCTCAAAAGGACGAGAGAGCTATTGCGATTGCGGCACATTATATGGCAACAGCATGCAAGGTTGATAACTACAGTTGGTTTTTGGCAGGCGGGAAGATGAAGAGGTATATCCGGGTGCTATGTAGTATGGTACAGAGAAAAGAGTGGGTTGTTTGGCCGTTGATTACTATAGGAGACAGTTGGACGAGTGTGCTGCTTCAAGTTGATGGGCAAGAGAATGAGAGGATATATAATCTGGCGACAGAGATTTTGGGTAACATACCATTGGGCTGGTAGGAAAGAATCAAGATACCTAAGAGCCTGCGCTTTTATGATTTCTAGCGGGCTTGATCAAGATTGATGGTATGTATAATCTTTAATATACCTCGACCTTTAATTTAGGGCTTTAATTGGCGTATGAATTGTTCAGACTTTGCGTGCTTCGGATTGCGCATATATTTATATTTATATTGTAAACAAATGAATTCCAGCATTTCATATTTTTGGTCTATCTTGTACCTGATTCTAACTGCAATCAGGTTCGAGAGTTCGAGTGTATACAGATAATATAACCGTAGACCTCGGGAAGATCATGCGCCCATGCACCCATGCACCCATGACTACTAACATAAGCACGTACTGAAGACTTAAATATCCAAGTACCCAAGTCTATAGTGGCCAAAACATTTTCCGCTAGCCAGAGAGCTTTGAGCTCGCCAATCGTAGGACCAGGATGATAGCAGATCGGATCAGATCTTCTTCCCGAAATATAGTTCATGCATATGTGATATCGCAGTCGCAAAACTCGTTGTCGAAAACAGGGAACAACCTCACAACCGGCACTCACTTCCTCAAGATATCTTAGCTATAACTATACTACCCCTTACACTAGTATTTTTCTGAACTAGGGATTCTAACGGCCAGTGATCGAAAGACAATTTTCTACCTCCAAAGTCTCTAGATTCTATATCCTTTCCTAATCCAAAAACTGATTATTTTTTTTTCGTCAAGAAATCGACGATAACCCGTTAACCCGCGCCGGCTCACGAGCGCGAGACACCAACGCAAAATGTCCAACAATACTGCGCCAGCAGAGAATCATGTCCATGATACTACCCAAGAGACTTCACGAGAAAATAAAGAAAAATTGAAAGAAGCTTCAATAGGTCATCCCGAAATGCGTGATATAAATATTTTAACATACGACGAAGTCGGCACTATTCAGTCTCACATCAGAATCATCGAACTCGTCGCCCCAACCCCACAAAACCCACTTTCCATCGTCGTAGTCACAAAACCAGGAAACCCACCATACCTCGCAACAGCTGATTTCTCACGTCAAAACATTCAAGAACAAGTTGATTCCCAAGATCCTTCTAATACAAGCACTCAGACCACAATTCTCCCTACTCTCATAAATATTCCAGAGCGAAATGTATCAAATCAAGATATTGACGTTCAGGGGATGAATCGTATGATCAAGATCCCCCTCCAAATACCGACGAGTCGAGATCCAAATGCCAATATTCAAGGTAGAGGTAATGGATATTCTACTTCCCATGATCCTGAGAAGGATGTGCCAGTCAAACCTATCACATACGCACCGGGATACCCCTCCACTGCCGCAATCATCTCAACGGATCCAGAGCTGTCAGTCTACCGACGTTTCGACAGGCTTAACGCTCGAAACTTCTTATACTATCAAGCAGAATTGATGTATCTGGAATCCGAATTGGATAAGTTAGACGACGAAGATAATGTAAAAGAAGATGCGGAAGGGAAATATCATCTCAGGCATTTTAAGGAGTTGTGGGAAGGTACCGATTCGAGAACACTGGAGAGGAAAAGGCTGGTAATGGATATGAGGTACTTGTTGAAGGAGTATAGTATGTTTTTCACAAGTATTGAATTATATGGTGTTACTAATATCGAGGTTTGTAGATATTTCGATGGTTCAATATAAAGACCTTCTAAACTATTCGGAACCCTCAAATCGAGTTTTAACATCTATCAGAAATTGGAGAAGGAACCAAGGAGATCCACCCATCATCGACATCTCAGAAACAGCGTATGATAAGTGCTTTGAATCGGACTTAATGGCCCTTAAGCCCCCCAAGTCCGATGATCCAATAACAATATTCGTACAGGACAACCTCGGAAGGTTCTTCAAAAGTAAGCCAGCCCGACCTCAATACCAAACTATACTGGCCAAAGAAATATTACTAAATAAAGGAAAACCCATTAAAAGAACCAAAACCACCACAAATCCCAAACTCCGACAACGTTCTCTACTACTCCGAAACAGCAATCGATCTATTCGTCACTATCATCTGCACACTTCTTGCAATAGTAGTACTTGTAGGATCGATGACTACTTTGTACTTTGTGGAATCACAGGGACTTAGATTGGGACTCGTTTGGGTATTTACGTTTTTATTCGCGATATCGATTTTCTTGATGGCCAATTTGTCCAAAGGGGAGATTTTCTTGGCTACAGCTGCTTACTGTGCTATTTTGGTGGTTTATATTAGCGGAGGATAGCTATATATAAATATGTATCGATAATTCTAGAACTGTATGGGAACAAATCATATTAAGATACCCCAGCAAAGCACTACGAGCGTAAATATGAGGGCAAAAAATGGAAGAATAGGATATAAACACGGGTAGAGTGATGTAATATAAAACGAAATGAATCCTAAAATAAAATAGCAACGATGAAATAGAAGAAAAGAAATCCGTTAGCGCCAACAACAGACGCTCCCACTGAATAGTAATGAGCGATTGGCAGAAATCCCAACATCAATGAACATAGATATAAAATGAAGAAATAGAGAAGAGTCGCACGGTATATTCAATAGATAAGGACCGTATCTATAGTGCGCTACGCAGGCAATGAAGTGCTGTTGTTATTCCTCCATGATAAAAAAGCAAATATACCAAATATCCCTACTTTGATGCAGTTAAACAGTTGCCTTCGTGGTAAGGGTAAGAGAAATGCTCTTCCAGAACATAACACGCAAATCGGGGACGAGGAAACTTATAAATCTTCGTCCTCAAATGGCTTCCGTCCAGAAACGTAGTAGCTATTACTCTTTGTTAGCCCCATCCTAACTCGCAATTGCTTCGCAAATCCACGACGAGGGAAACTTACTAGTTGAAATACATATGGTAGTTCTTATTGCAACTCTCCTGCTTCAGCTTCGCAACAAAAATATCAACCTCCTCTTTTCTCCACTTTAATATCCCTGTGAAAAGCTTCATCGCAAACCCTTCAAGTCCGTCTAGGAGGTTCAACAAACTATATCTCCCCAATGCCTTCAAATGCTCGTCCTTCCTCGGCCAAGGGTTTTGCGGACACTTCCTGACATCTTCGACAATATCCGTGAATCCTAGTTTTCGTAGCTCATCCTTTACACTCTGTGGTTGTCCTCTAGTATGTTTTCCATTCTTCTCGCATGCTGCATGGAAGTGGTTGATATATTGACTCAGCGAAGCATCTTCTGGCATTGAGCCGTCGTCTGTGAGGAAGACGAGATCAGGATCTTGGAATTCGAAGTATCCACCAGGCCTTAATGCGTCATAGGCTTGTTTGTACAATCGCGGCCAGTCGGATATGGCAGCCCGAAGGTATCGGATGTGGATGAAATCGAAGGAGTCCTTGGGGAATGTCCAATCGCCTTCACAGTCATCAATTTGAAATTCAAGGTTTGGAGGGACCCAGGTAGGTTGGATTGGGGCGAGATCCGTGCCGACTACAGAAGCGGATGGGAAACGACTATTACCAACGTATTGATATTAACTTTTTGCGTCTCTATAGTGCAGGAAGTTAGGAAATCTAGAACTGACTCTGCAATTTCAATAGCCCAGATTCCCGTGCCTGTGCCAATATCGAGGATGCGTTGTGGGTTGGGTCCGATCGGCGAGATGTAAAGGTCCCCTATTTTTGTGTAACATAAAGTCAACCCAGTTCCTTACCCAAGCCAATCCATACTTGACGACGCAATCAATTGTAAATATTGGAAGACAAGGAATATGAATCTGTACCATGTAGCAATAGCTTGAAGATGTGGTGCATTAAGTCTAGCCGGTCCTGTTCCATCTCTATAATCCAATTTACGTTAGATTTTAGACGAAGACCTGATATCGGTCGACTAATTGTAGAGTGTATAGCGTACCATCGACGGGGAACTGGTAGTCCGATTTTCCGGCGGAATTGGCCTATTAAGTCAAGAATACATATGTCAACATCTTATCTTCCTGTCAAAGGATGTTTAATCGATATCGATATCGATAACTTATTAATTCTACTCACATTGTATCTTCTGCCATTCTCAACCCTACATAGAAATCACACTAGTGGTTAGCCGGAAAAGGTTCGCAAGCTGTAACTCTATTTTCCGCCCCCCAAGAGCTTGGACAAGACATTTCAAAATCCGACGTGCGACACCAAGGAAAGTGTTTAAGAGGGTTCTTACATCTGTGCGTATATCTGCTCCCTCAGCGAGGTCGTATCTGTCATTAAACTACGCGTACGTCGATCCATCACGAATTGTTAGCTTCCGAGATTTCTAATACAATGAAATGTTGTATGTTCAACAAAGTGTCAAACTTGGACAATAGCCAATTTGACACGCATACAGAGCAAAAGTATAATACCAATCCATGCATGTCATTTCGACCAGGGATGGTCGATGAGGCATAGACTTTTTTTAGAGACCGAGTAGGGGGAAAAAACTCACCTTCCATTATCAGAATCCCAAAAATCATCTTCAGTACTCGAATCCGCCGAGTCTGCGGCAATATAATGCTGCTGCTGACTACCCCCTATTGTTCCAGCCTCTGGCTGGTCTGTTGTATTTGAAGGCGAGCCTTTCGGCGAAGTTCTGGGCGATACCCTGGGGGATACCCTCTCCTTCCCTGGCGGGGTCGACATCGATTTCGAATTTAAAATGGAATAGCGAGGCTTAAAAGACTAGTTTGCTAGCTCGTGATCAAAAAGTGGTGGGCGCAAGATAAAGCCAAGGGCGTACAGAGATTCGCGATGGTCGAAGAAGAGATAGTTGGGGCCGATATGGCGGGCGGGCTGATATAGTTCCTTGGTTCGAAGAGTGCCGATCGAAATGGGCAACAGGGAGGGTTTGGACAGCAAACAGCGGGAACAATAAGACACAAAGGAAATTTTGCTCCTTCTCTTTCTCCTCTTCTTTAACAAAAAAAACTTTGGTCCCACGCCCGAGCGTCTCGCGTGGGAAATACGCAATTCTGTCAAGTTCCTTCTTGGAGTTTTTTTACCCGGCTGGCGCAGTGTCAACTGATATCAAAGTCTATCGATACGTATCGGTAAGCGTTTAAGTTGGGGTAACTGGCAACTTTTGGGAAATGCCAGGCGACGAAAACTTTCTGAAAGTTGAGGGACCTTTGAGGGAGGAGTCGAAAAAACAAATCTTGAAATATCTTTTGGCGTTAAATTGTGATATTGAAATGGCTTTCAGCAGGCCAAAAAAAAGCGGCAAAAAGTGACGAACAATGGAATAGAAAAGCCCAGATCACAAAGGCCAAGCTCTGGTCCAACCAACAGCCGTTATATCACCAGGGTGTTTTAATACAACATTGGACAGGAAACCCACTTCCAAGCTCTTTGGCTTTCGATCCGACCGTAAACCCCGCTAGCCGCACCGGAAAATCGATGCCTTCCGATCATGGGCTCATACGCTCATTCACAAGTTTGGGACTTTACAGCTACAAGCTTGCTGCGCTAAAGAAGCCCTTCAGCTTCGTATCCGAATGCCGAGAAAAGCCTAGATTATGTGGGTGCCGAAGTGGCGGAATGTCATGATAATCAATGAGCGACAATTGAAGAAATCAAGGCGAGAACTCGGCTTCCATCCCGCGCCAAATTGACTAGTTCCATAGCGGGTTTCAACAATCGAAAGGAGCAAACGAGCGGACATTCCTCACGCTCACATGTCGCCACTCATCTATTCAATCTATAAAATTTTCAATATTGGAGCTGATATGGGCACATTTTTCGGGAATCCCTTATTTCGCTCATCCTGGATCATAAGATTAGTGATAAATCTTAAACTACGGGGACGCGTATTAAACCTTACAACAGAGCTCCTAGCTTACCTAGCTAAACATGTTCTAAGGAAAGCTTGAGGGGAAGACGCCGGATTTAGAAGCTTAGGGATCTAGAAGTGGGAGGCAGCTTCAGCTGCAGAGGTATGGCACAGCACAGATGATATGCATATAATGAATGACCTACAGGTCTCGCCGTAATATCGCAGCACGTCTAAAACGTACAGTATTGTAATTGCTAAACTGCTCAATAAGAAAAACAAGATAATAAAAAGGAATTATGCCTTGTATCTGTCGGCACCAAGGTGGTTGAGGGCTATGTTGGAGTTACATAAGTCGAATGATATCCGAGAATTGATAGGTATGTGCGCATGCACGGGTTATTCCGAATAATAACTATTCGTCGACAAAAGTTGCCTCAACTATGTTCATGAGACAACCAGGCGGTTGCTTCACACCCTCAAACCTGAATCTGGGGTCTGCTTCTGCAAATAGACGCTTCCAGTCCCCTTCTTCACGCTCAAGAGCATTTAAACACATCATCATAACCACGTCCAAGGTTCTAGATATATTGTTAGTTTGGTGCCATACCATCTAATTCGGAATATTTTGGGGGTCTCACCTAATTCTTCTCTCCTCCCATGGATTCGCAGTATTCGGATCCGGCAACGCCAACTCGTTGATAATTACTTTGGCACCGTTCTTCAGAGCAGGCACCAAACTCTTGATCATGATTCCAGCATATTTATCTGACCAATTGTGCATGCACCAGCGGATTAAATAAACATCAGCGCCCTTAACCGGTTGTTCGGTGAAAAAGTCGTGAACAACATAGGAGAATCGTGGCTTCAGCGCTGGATCTAAAGTAGCCTCTCCTAATTCGAGCTGCGGCTTGACTTTATCCTCGACGATAAACTTGAATTCTGGGTATGATTTTGCGAGTTCGACGCATACAAAACCGGTCGCGCCTCCAACCTGCGAAGACATTGTTAGAATACGAGGTCATAGTCGCATTACTCAATAGGTCAAAATCTTACATCAACAATCGTAGCATCCTTAGGTAGCCCACTCCAATCGTATCCATTTATCAAATGCTCGACAGCATAACCTTGGCCGGTACTAAACGCAGACATGGCAGTTCCAAACCTCTTAGCCCTCTCAGGCCTCGCTCCCAAAAATTGGAACAGGCTCTCGTTTCCATGAGCCAGTGCAAAGGCTGTCTCCCCGGTCTCTCCACTCCCTGGATACTTTTTCAACGCATCTACGACTTGCAATGACGCAGGAGCTAAATCGTCGGTATTATAACTTATCCAATTTCGCATCAGAGGGTCTTCACGGAGCAGGCGGGATTGCGCTGTATGCGCGACATATCCGTGGCGTGGTTCGTAGAAAATTCTGTTCGTCATAGCCAGACGGAGGACCTGTCTGATCTTGAGTTCCGGGAGGTTACATTTTTCTCCAATTTCCGCGTATGATATGTCGCCGTCGACGGGTACAATTTCTGGGATGTTGAAGGCGGTGACGACATGTAAGGTAGAAACATCGTTGTACTGCAATAAACAACCGTCAGCATGATAAAATTCGGAGCGAAACGGAACAAAAAAAAAGACTCCCCAAATTTTTCTAAAAGAATATAGAGCAGGGAAAAAAAAAAATACTTACATTCCAAACTAACCACCTCAAAAATTCGTTAGGTCCCGTAGCCAAATCATATATATGCTTTGACGCGGTTAACAACTCCTGTCGCGCTTCATGTATCTTCTGTGTCTCGCCATTTTGAGGAACGGGAAAGTTTGTAGGTCCATCGGCCGCAAACGAAGGGTAAGGCAGCCCCTGGGCCTCGATGTAATCTTCAACAATTTTTGCGTTTGCCGCTATGGTTGCTGCAAGTTCCGACAGTTTGGGTCGTAACCTGGATTCAGGTGTCGTCCCTGCAGCTGTTGGTGGTGTAGTGTTCGAGGCCATTGTTGAGTAAGATTGGTACCGATTCTGAATACGACTATAACCGGCCCAGAGGTTTGGAATGTGATAATTCGGAATTCGAGCTTTTGAAACAGTTGCAGCTAAAGAATTGGATCCTAGTTTCTCAGAGCTGGGTGCAGTTCTTTCAAAGCTCAAGCTTCTGGTTGTAGCTATCGGAGTACCAGTTGGGCCTCCTATTGGTCGTGGGAATCGGAGTCGAAGATTTGGGACGATTGGGGACCAGAAATGGCCGGATCTGCGAAGGGTGAACATTGCATTGGAAAATTGAAAGAGGGGTATCTATAACACTAATATCGATCGAGTTAACTGGGAATTATTCCAGATGGAATGGAACATGCATGCAGGTGCGGTATACGGTACCTTTTTTTCCCTAGTACCTTCCTCAAAGTGCCATTCACAGGTGTTGGTCAAGTATCTTACTCAGCTTTGGACTTTTCCCCTTATTTGAGACTGTTCAGACCGGCGCTGAAGGAACTAGCCGGTGGGTCGCAATGCGCCTGTTCCGGGCTTGGTTATCACGGTTAGGCCAAATAATCCATGCTTGTGGCCAACTAGTGAACTGGGAAGTGGAGACCTGTTGAATTTTGCCAAAGGATATACGGTGAGCGACTGTACGCAGATACGTCATGACACGGTATTTCCCACGAAAAAGAGAATAGTTACAGATGATATTATAGCAAAAAACTACGAAGCACTTCCTTTAGCAAGCTGAGGTTTTCTTTGTGTTTGCTAAAGGTTTATTGGGCAAGGGTGCAATTATTATAATCTCAAAGGGCAGCAAAACTAGGCTGCGTGTAGGCAGGATCTATTCAGGTATTCGGGTTGTACAAATCCGATTTCGTGAGATCGGAAATTTCTAGGCTCCATTAGTGGACCGTCCCCATAAGGTTCATGAATTCAGTAGATCTATAGATCTATATACTATATACTATATATATCTAATTCAGATGCAGCATTAACCCAGTTAAGGAGCTCGAAATAATTGTAAGAGCTGAGAAGAAGAGGAAGTGTACTCCCGTTTGCATTGAAGGACGACTCCGCTCCGGCTAACAAATAGGTCCAGAAGTTTAGATATCTTGACTTTCAATATCAAGTATATGGAATATATAGATGTTAAAAGAAAAGAAGAATATAGATCTATAGAATTGCGTAATGATGATAATAATAATAATAATCGAAGCAACGAATACTTTAGATGAACTTGCGAACGGTGATATAATACCAGAGCAACTTGGATCCATGGATATCAAAGAGTTACGAGAATCTCAGGGGCGTATATATATACTATGCCTGGCCTAGACCTCGACATGGAGATGCCTCAATGTTAGGGTCACGTCAACTGTCTAAGACTGATCCGCTGGCCGGCCGCCTGAAACCATATGATGCGTGTAATCGATCACAAGTGAAGATATGGGTGCTACATACGTGGCCGGCATTTGCTTAAATTTAAAACAACAGCCGGTCTCGACTCTTTTGATTGATCCAAAGCTCCAGACCGTGTCAAAATTGAACCAGCACCTGGCCGGGAAGGCCTCGTATTAATCACATACTCGCTAGTTGCATACTACATTGCTCGTTTGCTCGTTGGGAAGATCAAAGACATCGCCAGGGCGATGCCAAGCAGGCCAAGGAAACAAACGATCGCGTGTGTAACCAACCATTATAACGTCAATTGAACCCAACATGGAATTCCCAGTTTTCTCATGGAAGATGTTGAGACTTTGACCCATCCCAACGTGGCCGGAAATGCACAAACTGTGGCCACGCGTGGGAGTATGGAGCATACTCGGAATCCCCAAGGATATGTGTACGAAAAGTGTAGCCGAATTTGCATATTTGCAGGCCGGCGTGGCTACCATCTTGTGAGAGGTTTCCCACTGAACATCGGTCCATTTACGGGCTATGGCTAGGCATTTCGATTGCAAATTGCCATCCAACTGACACAGAAACTAACCAATTGCGAGAATACGTCGGCCAGGTTTTTTTCGTTTGTTTCGCGATCGTCATCGACTTAGCTAACGGGTCAAGGGTTTGTTAGGGGGAAGGGGAACAAAAAAAAAAAGAATTAGAAAACGGAAAAACATTGTCTGCGGCAGCTGCTTCAAGTTGAATTCAATAGCATTAATTTCCCTGTTCTGGAGACGTTCAAATTGAAATGTTGAAATGTTGGAAAAGAATCAAATTTAAAATAAAAAAGGGCGTACATTTTTTTACCGTCATAAGCATGCATGTTTCTTCCCCGATTGTAATTGTTAGTTATAACCTTCGATCAACCCTGCAAAAATCGAGGTTCCATCCGCACCGTATACAGCCCACATGCAACCATAAACCCAACATTCCCCTAGCCATTTTAGAAACGAATTGTCCCTTCTCCAATGAATTTGTACCACCCACACCATTCCCCTTCCCGTACGGCACTGCAAAGCTGTAAGGTGTGATTAATATCGGGAATTGCAATTGTATATCTGGGATAGACACTCACACACCCTCTCATGCATAGCCTGGCTGGTACTAGTTTCCTTTAGAAACCTGTACAATCGATTGGACCGGCATGTACTTGTTGGCATGCACTCAGGAGCATACGGAACACGGGAAAAGCGCGATGAACCCATTGCGATATTGAGAATCATTCACAAGGCTATATTATGTTGTTTTTGTGTTCAGAATTAGTCCATTTCGTATGATTTACGTAACCTTGTACCATATGTAGGGGAGCCACTAGAAATCCAGTATAAATACCGAGACCTCCCGCTGAGGGTTCGAAAAAACATTCATTCCAGAATTATTCTTCCTAACAGAACTCAAATCCTCAATTCAGTTCAATAATACTTAATTAATCACTTAAATTTCAAGTTATAATACTTTCAATCACTCTTTTCTCTCTCTGTTAGTGTTGAGAATCAAAACCTATTCAATACCCTCGTTATCAAGATGAAATTCTTCGCTGTTCTCCCAGTCTTCGTTGCTTTGGCCGCAGCTCAGACGACTGAATCCCGTGGTATGGCTTACATCTCTATGATATATTCATATACACACCAATCTAGCTAGATCTATAGATCACTAACAAGTTAACCTCATTCACAGCCCTCACCGACATCATCCCAACTTCAATCCTATCTGAAGCCTCCAGCATTATCAATAGTATCTCCAGCGTCATCTCCAGCGCAGTTAGCGAAGCAACTTCCCGTGCAGCTTCTGAAACTTCACGAACTAGTGAATCCACCGTCGTCACCACAACTAGTGTGGGAACGGTCACCGTCACCACTCCTAGAACCGAGCCTGTAACCGTCACATTTCAACGCACAATCACGAGTACTAGTGGTACTTCTGTGATCACAAGGGTTGAGACCTCCACAGCTACCACAAGCACGGTCGTCACCGAACCTACGGGAGTGAGGACCACTGCTACCAGGACCACTACTAGTCCTAATGCCGCACCAACTAAGTTTGTAGCTGCTGGAGCTGTTGGTATCGCTCTTGGTGGATGGGCCCTTCAAAATATCATTTAAATGATCGATTCAGTTCGAACGGGGGGATGGTATACTAGGGAATTTGAGTCTACGACTAAATTGGTATTGTCTGATACGCATGATTGGTACCGGTATATGGCAAAGACGGGAAATTATAATGCAAGGAGAAGCGAAAAGAGGGGTATCGTTACTAATGGGATTCTGGATTGGACCGAAGATCTATGTACTTACTGACATAATTAAAGTACTCATTCATGAGATAATTGACTAAACGAGTCTCATCAATAATCAAGAGTGCTTTGGCCTCGAAAATACACACTCTAAAAAAATCAACGTTTCGCTGAAGTGCATTGACCTCGTCAAATAATTGTTGGATCGCATTGCACCCATTCCCATTAAATACGAATAAGCTCTATATATAATAGCCTGCAAACGCGCGTTTCGACGCCACCGTATGCATGGCCAATGCAACATCAAGTCGGTTCGCGGATTAATTCGTAAGCTCCAACCAACAAACTCTTGCAATAGCTTTTGCGATAGCTGTATATTGCCAAGATCAGATGTCACAACTTCCATTCCCCCGATCTCGAGAACTGTTAACTTCGCAAACAAAAAAAACAGAGATGTATGAATTTGAGGTTTTCCAATTGATGCATGCAATGAACGACATGACTGTACGAATTCAATTAATTAAAATAATGCAAGGTCACAGTTCAGCTTTGGGCCGATGAATCCATGATCCGTCTCTCCCACCCTCCATAAACAAACATATCCGAGTCCGAGCTCTTCCTCAATCGGACCTTCCCGTTTGCAATTTGACGGTGTCGTCATCCTGCCCTAACCTCTAAAATTCGAAAGCGCACCAAATACCGAAACGAAAACACGGCTGCGGCCGACGAGCCAACAGACTTCGCTGTTACTTTCAACGCCGAGTTATGTAATATTCAAGTTGCAATTGCGAAGACGGCCCCTTGCATTGGAATTAATTGCCAATATATAGGAAACGCCGGGTTGTTCCCTCGAAACGTTTTCTTCCAGGATATGAATGTTTTCCAACTGAAAGGTAAAAGCTTGATCGTATCCAAGCGTTAATACCCCAGATTTCTTGTTAGTAGACCCCAGATCAATTACCTGTTGGAGGCGCACGAAATTTCGGAATCCAGGCTTGGGTACGTGTATACCACAACACACAAAACTCGCAATGCCACCTTTGACCGTCTAATTTAATTCCGACTTAAGCACTTAGCTTATATTAGGTATTTACGGGACCGCCTTTGATCAATTGGTATGTTTCAAAACCACGCAAAAACGTAGGGGAGGTAAGGAGCGTGATTACAAACGGCGGTATCCTACAGAAATCGAATTGAGCACCAGAGCCTCGTTTGTTCTCAATCTACTTGGAAGTCTAGAGTTACAGCGAATTAACTAGGATTAGCTAATATTACACGCTCGAGCTTGTTCATGAACTTCTGCACCAATACTAGCATGAATACCCTGCGCCTGCTATCTTATTGTTGTACATGCGTGTATACGTGCGAATCATGTGGAGATATCATGAACTATACCGGGGTTTCTGTAGAGTTTATAATTTAATATAGAGCTCGCCTCAATATCTTATCTGTAAAACATATCTACTACGAGGTCGAGGCGTCGAAACCACATGGCCTCACAGCGCGAAATTCCAGGCAACTGTAGGCCTCCAACCCCGCAAAGCCGTCTCCTGCGATGCACTGCACGAAGGCGAGTTGCATACGAAACCCCCCTTCCCTCTTAGAAAAACAAGGGTGGTCGGGGTGTTAATCTACAGTAAGTGAAAAACTTAGTTACGTCATCCAGTAGGTATGCCTTGCTGCGGTACACCCGTGGATCTTTCTAAGCCAAAATTTCTACCAAAGGTAAGCTTTTTAGGTTCATAATTCTCAGAGATCTTGGCTATTATTTCTTGGCATTTATTACATAGTACTTGTGAACTAGGTAGATAGATGATCCTAGGGGAATTCGATTCGATTTACATCTATAGAGCTCCGCCTTGCGATTTTTTTTGGTTTTTTTGCTTGGACGCATAGAGATGTGCGTGGGGCTCGCGGCGAGCTTTCGGTACTTCATAACGTTGATTTACATGATTTGTCCTGCACGATTGGGTCGTCTTACGAGGTGGCCTAATTAACAGCGCCCGGTTATCGGGGTCATCATTCCATCATGTATTACTCTGATATATGGCGGATACTATTTACGGTGGAGCTTCTGGTTACTCGAATTTGGGTATAAATGAACAGCCAAAGTTTCATCATGAATCTATTCTAATTTTCTACTTCACAAAAATTATTTCAAAATAACAATTTCACAAAGAACTGTCTAGTTTATGAGACCACAAGGAACCAACTTATTTATAATTTCACTGTTTCCAATAATTTTCTATTTTAATTGAATATTTATATCAATATATCCTCCTCTACAAGTCAATCTATAACCCCAAGAAGCTTAATAATCAACTAAAATAATACCACACAACAACGCAAAAACCTCCAAATCCCAGAACTCGAATCCGGTGCGGTTTCGAAGTACCAAACTCCAAAAAAAAAACTTGACACGATAAATCCTCTGTTGCGCCCTGCACACGCAAATAATACAAAAATGTGCTTCGGATCCTCTAAGAAGACACAAACTTACCCAAACGCTCGATATCACGGTAGCGGCAGCACTGGGAGCGGGTACCAATACGACAAGTACGCTGCACGGAAAGCCTACAAGAAGAAACATAAGAAGCACTATGGGGCTGCAGGTGAAGGAGTCGGAGGATTTTTTGAGGCATTTGGAGGCGATGGTGGTGGTTGGGGAGACGGTGGCGGCGGTGGAGATGGTGGTGGAGGAGGAGGTGGAGGAGGAGGCGGGGATGGTGGTGGCGGCGGCGGCGGCGGCGGCTGTTAATTCAAGGAAATGTGCTAGAGAACGAGATCTTAACGATATTAATACTGTGTATGGATGAGTTTCGGCGTATAATTGGTATTCAATTGTATTTTTAATCAATTTTTTCTTTTATCCTAGGTCTTCAAGCTACTTAAGTAGTTAATAAACCTGGTCAAGTACATCTAGTGGAGACGATTTCAAATCATCAACATCTTGAGAGTATTAATATTGGGGAGTTATGGTGTATTAGTTCCAATCCAATCGAAATCCATAATGAAGATTGTGTATAAAAGGCTTTGACATTCGCAAGGGTAACGGATATGTACAATCTAGAATTTACAATCTTGCTTTATGTACAGAAATGTTCAAAATCAATCACCAAGTAAAAACCCCCTCAAACTATCCAAATGAGTCATTTCGAATCCCCTTTCCAGAAACTATCGGCCAGAGAGATCGGAATGACCATGAAGAAAATACAAGAATAGAAAAAACTGCGTTATATCCTATCGTACTCCAAATCCACTTTATTAGAGCTTCCCAGTCCACTTATATATACTACTGAAGCCCGAAGGGCGACAGAATTTACAAGAAAGACTCAAGAACTGGGACGTAGGTATCAACAGCACGGCCATTTGGTGGCTCGATGCTCTGGAAGTAGTCAGATGGCCACCATGGACCAGCAGCCCACCAAGTAGCACCAACCCAGGCATCGCTGTTCTTAAGAGCGCAGAGGAGGCCTTCAACAGCAGCGCGGCAGACATCGTTGGGGCCGGCACCGAATTCACCGAGGAAGCACTTGACGTTGTTGTCCTCGCACCAGCGGGTGGCGGATTCAACTCTCTCGGCACCGATGGTCTCAGAAACGCAGTCCTCGCTAGTGCCAGAACCATCCGAATCGAGGTATTGATGCATCTCTGAAGTAGATGTTAGAATTGTCCTTTGTAATATTTAAAGGAGGCTGAATATCGGCTTACCATAAACCATGTTCTTCTTGGGGTCAGTGAGGTACTTGAGCATATCATTGTTGTCAACCCAGTGCCAGGCACCGCTCCATGCGTTACCCTCAACGAGGATCAAGTTGTTGATGTTGTTGGAACGGATGGCAGAGATACCAGCCTGGTTGAGCTGGAAGACAAGGCCGTTATCCATATCGTGGAACTCGTTCATGAGATCGAAGATAACATTGTCATTGAAGTTGGTCCAGGAAGAAAGAGCCTGCCAGAAGTTACCAAAGCCCTCAACATCAGTGAGGATCTCGCCGTTGTATCGGCCGAAGTTGTGGACATCAATGACTAGTTGGGTTACTATTAGTATGACTTGCTGCAACCGATTCTCGAGGGTTTGCTACTTACTGGCCTTGCCGCCATTGGCAGTGATGTAGCTGATAGTTCCGTAGAGGCCAGAGAGGTAGCCCTGGTTGTACTTGGAGGGATCCTTAAGACCATCGGCTGGTGGAGCAACACGCTCAAGCAAGATTGGGACACGAATAGCATTGAATCCCTTGTCGAGGAAGTATTGGATACTCTCATGAGTTGGCCAAGTGAAGTCAGTTCCCAAAACTCCGGGAATCTTAGTTCCGAACTCAGCGCCAGCCTGTACATATTATTAGTACTTGATGCATCTCAAATATATACATTGCATGAGAAGAAACAGATGGGGCACATACCTCATTGACACCGAAGAGGTCGAAGGTCCTGTCGTTGTTGCAAGAGGGGTTGGGAGTCTGGGTACACTCTCCACCTTGCTCAGTGACAGTGACGGTTTCGTACTCCCAGTTGGTGCTGATGACAGTGGTGGTGGTAACCTGACGAACAGTGGTAGTCTGAGTGATGGTCACTGTGACAGTATTTCCACCACCGGGGTTGCCGTTGCCTCCTGGCAAGCACTGAGAGTAGTAAGGGTTGGAGTATGTGCAAGTCCATCCAGAGACACAGTTAGTGGGACCGTTGAAGTTACTATTTCATGGATTAGCACAACTTGAATCTGGAAATCATGAGATTGTATGATTGAAGATTGACATACACTCCACCACATTGTCCGTAGCCTTGAGCTTGAGCAGAAGCTCGCTGGGTGAGCCCAGCAAGAGCTGCGAGAAGGACGAGATCAGATTTCATCGTGAAGAGTAGGCCTGAAGGATGAGAAGGACTTGAATGTGTCGGAGATGAGTAGACCACGAGTGAGCAACGAAGCTTGAGGATGGTGAAGAAAGATGATACCTGGGAAGACAGATGACACCCTTTATATACATCCACGAGGCATCTTGGTCGACAAGGGCGCCTGCTGCTGAAACCCTCATATCCATAGATGCGAAAATTGAAAATGTTCACATTTTCCTGGATAGAGTCGATGCTTCGAAGCTAACGGGCCTTGGAGAACCGGATTACGGCAATAGTGCCGGATCTTCGTGCCTGCACCGCGGAAGGGAAGACATGAGGTCTGTCTTGGTTGATTGTCACCCAACGTGATTCTGTCCATGAAATTGGCATGGGCCAAGGTGAATATCCTAATAAGTTGCATTTGGCAAGCAAGGTCTCCAGGTCATCTTGCGGGAATTTAGGAAAGGATCACGGCCAAGGCAAGAATAATTGGCATGTCTTCTTTGGGAATATTAACAGAAGGTGATGGCGAGATTCAATATACCCGCTCCTACGGACTCAATGGCGACCAGGTTAGTGCCATTGACGGATTGCAATCCCTTCGCAAGTTGAAATATTTCTAGATTAAGCCATCATTTTGTCCAAAAATGGGTTAAGGTAAAGCTAGGACTGAAGGTTTAAGCATGAACGGGCTTGGTATTTCAAAAATTCGCCTTGCGACGTTGAACTCACGAAGTCCCACCTCGTTCGCTAGCAAACGATGACGAAGGGTTAGCGGATCATCGGGCAGATCGATAGGGATAAGATTAAAGCTTAGATTTATAGACAGCGATTCGGACAGGGTCACCCTTGTGTCTTGCATTGATCCAGCCTTCTCGAAGCATGGGAGCACCAGCAGCACGGAGCCAGCGCAGTCTTTACGTTAGCGGGATTATGCCCTCCGATTTAAGAAAGCCATGCGTCTATGCAGATCCTGCAAGAAAGTTCAAGGGCTCTAAAGTCAACGTGCTGAATACATACGCTACGTAGACTCCCCAATTGTTGTAATCCCGATATTTGGTATCTACACAAGTAACTGCATGCACTGACACACCGCCTTTGCGAGATAATCAACTAGAGAGAAATATTTGAGTATCAAGGGGCATTTTCCCTTGATGCTCAGCTGATACAATTTGGTTGATTGTAATTTGCCTTTGGCTCTTTGCATAACCGTCTCATGTATGATCATGCTCTGCTAAATATAATCCGGCCCGGGTTAAAGCATACGTGCGAGTACTATAACGAAATCGTCATATTAGTGGCTGGAAATACACATTGCCCACAATTTTGCTCCGTGGTGTGGCTCATGACCAGAGCCATTATTGAGATTATTCCGAAGACAGCGACGTTATTCATGTAGCTGGCATGACTTCGGTGTGAATTGTCATAAGCTTCGTTGTTAAGGTATATGTCAAGTAGACCCACACTCCGGCCTCTATAACTAGCTAATCCGATCCCAGCATATGCAAAAATCCTGCTTGGGATTAGCTTGTGCTCCCTACCGGGACCGGAAATTTTCTTGTCAGGGATTTTAACAACCTACCTACGAAAGACAGTATGCGGGGTGTCATATTCCCACCCAGCCCGTTGACAGAAAGGACGCTACACACAGGTATTTACAGTCCCCGTGTCTGTAGAAACGTTTTGAAACAAATAATATCATATTAGACCACCTGTAATTCATTTGGATAATTCGTTATCTGGAGCAGTAATACAACCATAGAATAGTCACGAGCTAATTCCTCTAAACATACCCACACAAAGTATAGACAGACCTTCATAATGCTCGCAAACACGCTTGAGCGCTCTCAGACATAATGCTAATACTCAAATATTATGATTGATAATGCTTAATAGAATGAACTTGACGATTTCCGGCTGAATGGGTTTGCTTATGCCCCCCTCCTCCTGTCTCCCCAAAAATGGCTCTACGGATCTTCGCAGATTAGTGAGTGAGCGGGAAAAAAAGTATCGCACAAAGCCGGCGCTCAAAGTCGGTTAAGCTCGCTCTAAAAAAAGAGCCGTATAGTTAAAAGATTTTGTGGGGAACCCCGACTACTTTAGCCAGTTTAGAAAAGACGCATGAAGGTGGTGTATAAAAGTTCCCTATCAATTTTAAAAGGTGCAGGCAAAATACATAGTGGGCTCCACCCGTCAACAGTAAACGAAGGCAGAAGCGGAGAAAGAGGAGACATATAAGCGAAAGGGAAAAGAGCGTTATAAAAACGACCTGGGGGCGGGCAAGCGGACTCGGACGATTTGTTGGGTGTTGTAAAATAATGTCGGCTATTTTGAATATCAATATACCCACAAGACCCCAGATCCCGGACAGACAGGCATCCCTAATAACTTGTAAATTGATTCTGGAAATATGTAGAGGTTGTTATATGCGGACTGCGGAAGCAGGTACCGTCTATACGAGAAATTTGTGTGTGAAAAGTCTGAATATCGGAGGGGAAACCCGTAAGATCCAATGCGGTGCGTACAAGTCACTGACAATATTGACTCTGGGAAAAGCTGGGCTTAAAATCAGTGAAGCGGTGACTTGATACAAGGAATCTGGGGCAGAAGGGAGATGATTTGGCTGCCAAGCATAACTCCTGTGCACATAGTAAAACAGCCAAGTCATAATTTCCAAGAAACGCAGTGACCTATGATACTAAATATTAAAGTCTAGCTATAGCTTCTCAACACTTGCTAGTATTCTAGTAATCGCTTGGTCTGTTTGGAGTCGTTAAAATATTGTCAACCCGATGCAGAAACAATAACGACAATCGACTTCGCTAGAACCCTTCTGCAAAGCCCACTTTAAAATAGACGAGTTGATCAACCAATATACTCCAAACGTATATATCTACAATAGACTTTCCACGTGTAGCGTGAGGATTTTAAAATCCCAATCGGCCCCATTGGGTGCGGCGCTATTTCACTTTTCAGTTCGTTGGCACTCGTCTAGCGGCTGCGCGAGAAACGTGGGCGACGATCAAACAGACTCGGAGGGATGTTTTCACCAGATGGGAGAGAGAGGAGCCTTCTCGCTCCGTTTGCAGGTGGCTGCCACGGGCAGTTGAAGGCAACGGCTAAATTGCGTACGATTCCCTGTACATGTCCGAACAGCACAGTGGTGCGACTGCATTCTATAACGTGAGACCACCATGTAGATGTTGGCCCGTCTCATGCATGAGCCATATAAGCATGAGCAACCCAAGGGAGTACAGGCTATACGGAATACATTTTGTGGCGTTTGTCTTGTTCATACAAATTTAATACCGCGATATCGCGAATTGTAAAACGTCATGACGAAGAGTCCTTTAGGGTGAAAACAGTTTCTTTCCGAAGCAATATATTGGGGCTTTTACAAGCACCATAACATTCATAAAGTTTCACACAGGGCTTTAAACAAGGCCGGAATTTTCAGCAGGGAAAATGCTTTTGCCTCTTCCGTGCGGCAGGCGGGCACAAATGAGCTCCTCCTCTTCAACTTCCACCGCGAATAACCCTCTGTTGTTTGATGATACTTGGTCAGGGATAGACTGTTTTACTGGAATGCCGTTTATGCTTTGAATATCACTGGTTACGCGCGCATACACGCTGCGCATTTCTCTATTGTACTTTTTGACGGTTCTCTCGGTGGTAAATGAGCCATCGCCAATTTCGTAGCTATATCCTTGGTTAGAAGCGCCATTAATCCAACTGGTTTTATTGCTTCCTGTCGCCGCAGAGAAATAGGAAGCCTCATCATCAAGAAATCTGCGATCGGTATACTCGTTGACACCAAGCTCCTTCCTGGGGAATTCGTTAAGGAAAAAGGTAGACCTGTCTGTGAGCAGCGTCGATTCTGGGCCACGGTTCAAATACAAGCTATTAACTCTGCCGTGTAAGAAGAAGCTTTTATCAGGATATGGGACGAAGGCTTGGTCCATGCGTAAGGAGAACACCAATTTTCGGAGCGGTGTCCATCCGTTTTCTTCTATATTCCGAGGACTCGGGGAATCTCTCTTCTCCTTCTGGGTCTGAAAGCTTTCGAAAGCCTGAGTATTGGCTTGGAGCGTCTGATTATTTCCACTGGCTGAAAGAATCCCCTCCACTTCGTATCGTTGAAATCGTTCCCACCACAAACGCCCATCTGGGAAATCTCGAGATATTACTGTTCTGCGGTGAACTGATGTTCGATAGTTTACCAGTTGGTCAACGCCATCGCCATCAGCCGCCCAGTCGACACCAACCGCGGCAAATATCTCTACAGAATACTCAGAGGGGTCTATTTTTGGTGCCTGGGGGTCCGTCCAAAAGAAAGTTGTTCCGCTGACATACCAGTTCTGGCCGATGCCTCCGCCGATTTCCGGGCGGCCTCCGGCACTGGTGAGCCCTTCCACCCTAAATTCGATGACTGAATTCGCCTTCCCGGCGACGAACAGAGTAATGTCGATTTCAGCCTCCCATAGATCGTAGGCGTGGGGGCACACAATAGGTTTCCAAAGACCTGGATTGATACCCCCTGTGTAGATGGTAGGCACTGGAACAATAGCATCAACCATGATCCTGTCTACATACACTTGTACCTCCCTGTAGGGCGAATGACCCAACAGGGTATTATTAGGGAAAGAATTGACAAGCCCATCCGGTACATTTGTGTACCAGAACTCCTCTTCGGCATTTCCACTAGCTATAATGGAGAGCTTTGCAGTCTTCACATTCTTAGGAACAGAGAAACTCCTTCCTGCAACATCGTTAGGCAGAACAAAGTGACTTGGCTGTCCATTTGACCCTTGCATTCTAGAAATGGGTACAACGACGTCGGCCACTTTTTGGTGGGGCGGAAGGTCCAGCTTAAAATAGTGAGCTGTCAGAGTTACAGCGAAAGTACCTGTAAGGATGTCGGTGACCATGTTTCCCATATCAAAAATGATCGTTCCATTTGCCCTCAGTAGCGTGCTGAAAGGTGTTACATCTTTGGTATACTGAAAGGATATGCCGTTCGGGATTGGCTCGGCGGTACTCGTTCGCCAGAGCTCCGTATCATCGAAAAATAAGAAAGCAAGGCGATCATACTGTCGGCCTTTGCTAGTAGTGTAAAGATGAAAATAGACCGTATTCCATTCGCAGGATGGAGGAGGAGGGGAGTACTGAGCAACAGCAGGTTGTCCGTAAGAATTTATGAACTCATGTTGTAAAATTGTCGAAGAACACGCTTCACCACTAAAGTCGTCGTGTGGGCTAGAGGTATCAGATAGAGGAACCAAAGGGGGTTTATAGAGTTGAAAGAACTCTGTCAAATCCCCGTCGACGCTGGGCGAAACTTGGTGCTGTTCGGGGTATGGGGCTTGGAAACCCAAAGAGAGAATAGGGAGTAATGCTAAACCCCATGTCGATGCTGTCCTCCATCGGGTTAGTATTTGATCAATCCAGCCGAATACTTTAGTGTGCTTGCTCAGCTCCTGATTCGATATACATACCTTGGTACAGGCCAAAATGACCTAGGAAATATCGTGTATATACCATTTTGACGACTGTGATCTAATTCTGAATAGACCAATGCAAGGATGACGAGAACCGAGATGGAGATGAAGATGCGATCTTGACCTTAATCTTGACCAATCCTCCGTTCCTCTTGTCTGGGTAATACACCAGAATGTGGAACTACCGGCAAAGGCTAGTTTCGTGAAGGCACCGATATCTATCCGCCCATTGCCTTCGATAAGAAGCGCTATTTACTCACTTCAGGAAGGTGGAAAGATCCAATGCAGCTGTGGTGCTTAAGTAATTAACTTAATATGGGGTTCGCGTACACAGATCAGCGCGAGACAGCAGCGCGCCCCTGGCTTCAAATTCCAACATATCAACACGAAGTTGACGTGTTGCAACAACACAACCATAACGGGCAGCGGAGGTCGGTCGGGTTCCGAGGCTTGCCAGCGGGAGGAGAAAAAAGGTGATAAGGCAGCTATGAGTACAAATCATTTTAGACTATCGATAATTTGGTCATCTATGCTAAAAATTCAGTGGCAGATATATACTGATCTGAGGAGGCTGGCCACAAGACAATATGTAAAATATTTATGCGTATGACCGACTCTCTTGTATCTTGCGCCATTAACCGTCTTTATATTAAGCAATTAATTGGAATTATTATCGTTTCTCAACGGACACTTCGATATTGGCACTTTTATCTACCATCACGACCAATACCATTAACATCCCTAGAATTAGTATCACAAACGCTGTTTCGGGCGAAAATTCTTCGAGGAACCATGTAACGTATTTATATACTCCCGGAACCCCACTCGAAGAAACTTGTCGGATTGGAGTGTTGGGACACTTTAGTGCGTTGATGAGGCAATATAATAATAGGGCGAACCCTGTTAACGTGATTCCAAGGGCTATGGCGAAAAGATTCATCCGTTTCCTGCCATCGAATCGAAGCGCCCAGACAAATAGAAATATCCAGATGATAAATGTTATCATGGATATTAGCATTGAATACCCTCGAAGACGGGCCCTTCGTGAGAGTTCTGACCAATTGGTTATAATCTCGACTACAAGAAAACCGGTTAACCATTGACCCCACAGAACCGTCAAAGTGAATACTGAAAAATCCATATTACAAGCAAGCTCTTTAAAAAGCCAGCAAGTGCATGCGCTTACTCACTTGTTTCAGTAATAGGTGTCGTCAAAGAAAGCCAAAGGCATTTGAGCACCCTCCATGGTCCTCTGATCAGACATTCCCCAGCATTCCATACGGTACTACGCACGTGTCCCTGTCTACCGTTTCTGACTGCAGCCGCCTCGGTGGACATCGATCAATGGATGCCCCCAAACTACTGAAATTTCTTTCCCGGTGGAAGCAAGCCCATTTGGACGTCCCCTTTATGGTGGGGTCCGAGGCAATATGAATATTGCAACTGTGATTCGATGCGCTGGCAATGCAGGGTGATATGGCCGACATATAGAATCGATAAATCCCGCCCGGCGATAATATAGAATTCGGAATGCCGACCGATTCAAAATATTAAAATACAATGATTCTCCCGAGTTGATAGAGAAATGATATTGAAAAATTTACCCTACAACCTCAATTCCCCTCAAACAAGCTTATGCCCAAGCCTCGAATCTCATTTCAACTTTTGTTGCATTTTAGCCGACATCGATCGAAATTGTGTTGACAAAAATGAATCGATATAATGTCCTCCCTATGGCGGTAAAACGTTTCAGGCGCCCAAACACAAGCTCACATGAGTTACAAGATCTTGTAAAGCCCCTAAATACCTTTTATATACAATATATAGATGTGGGCAAGAATCAAAAAAACTAACATCTCCTTTCAATAAACTAAAGCCAAGGAAAGCCCCAGCAGCGGAGAGAATGTGCTACTTCGTGGTTTTCAAATATCTCGCATGCGACGGCTACCAAAACGGACATGGGAGAGGTATCCCTAAAACGAATTGCACAGACCCTTTATGTAAACCAAGAATCGAAAGCGTCCCGGGATTTTGCCCAGAGTGTATTGCCGTTTCAATGCGAGACGATTCTAGCATCGATAGCAAAAGAAAGGCGCGCAAGAGAAGACAGGCCTACAACAAATTAAACTCTGGAAACACTGAAAGCGCACCGATACCGAACCGAGGACCGAGGATCAAGTACGACGAAGCTACACGACGAAACCTAAAGGCTCAGGAGTCGGACGCCCAAAGGGCGGATAAAAAACCAGCCCAGCTTAAACGAACGAATACTTCCTCAACCCGAAGGAGCGGAGATTCAAGCTCGTCAGGATCAGGATTTGGAGGTTACGAAAATTGTGGACGGGTTCGAAGGCCATCTCAATCATATGGAGGCTATTCTTACAAAGATTTCGTAGTTTCTGAGATGAAACCGCGAGAAGGTCGAGAGTCCGAGAAGGAGATAGATCGTCAGTGGAGCCCAAAACCAGCTACTGGTGGGTTTAGGGCTCTCTTCAAAAGACTTTAGTTTATTATTTTTGCAATTTTTACCATGCGCTGGCCGCACATATGTATATGATTTGTACTTTATTTGCTCTCTACATGGCAAGGCGCTAACGGTTCAGGTGTTTGGTTCTTCCAACGGAGGGAGTTTAGGGGTTTCTTTTTTCCCTTTTGCATAACCTTATTGACATATCTCTTGGTACTTTGATGTATCAACCTTTTACCTTTAATTTCTATAGTTGTCTCGTACCCAGCCCACCCAAAAAAAGTTACAGGGTGGCTTAACTATTATGTATACCACCTACCAGTCTTAGAACTAAGCTACTATCATTTTACTTTGTAGGACTCTAGTTTTTGTCCCTAGAGCATGTAAATCAATCAAGCACCTCACTCCTACAAGGTCTAAGCAAAGCATCTTTATCTATCCACCCTAAAAGCAATTTATTGGAAGGGGTATCTTATTCCCAATGTTGACCGAAAAGTTAACAGCATTTATAAACATAACCCTGGCGCCTACTATAAGAAATTTATAACCAATTAACACAAACCGGACGGTCAGAAACATGGAGACTAATGTTATGGTCTTCAGCATCAATGAACTCTCCACTTGTCGGATCAACTTTGTAGATAACTATCGTGTCCGTTTCCTGTAATGCGACGGCAACAAACTTTCCCGACTGATCGAAAGAAAAATGGCGCGGGGTGACTCCACCAGCCTGTAGGAGTTTAACAAATGAAACAAATCCTGTAAGTGGATCAATTTTGTAGAGGGCGATTGAGTCAGAAGACCCAAATTTCTTATCCTTAAATGAGTAGTCATTACGGTTGGAGACATAGAGGAAGCGTTTGTCCTTCTTCAGAGGGAGTTAGCAATGGAGATGCTTAGTGATTATCAAAATGTATGTAAATTGAGCCTTACCGAAATGACGATCTCTCCAGCTGTTGGTGAAGGAAGGGAAGCGAGATTCTCTGTTGAGGTTGGTGGTAGCGTTGGAACATTCTGTACTTCATGGAAAACAAAAGTCCCGTTGTCCCATTGTCGGGTCTTAAAAACGGTGAGGGTATTTTTTAGCTCGTTGACTACGTATATCATAGTTCTATTCCTTTCGAATATCTCGTTCGGCTTGTCGATAACGTGAAATGCAACATGACGTGGGCCTGAGCCCGCAGCAACTTTGATATTTTGCAATTCAGATAGGCGCGACCCATTGACAGAGTAGAGGCGTAGGAGGTCCGCCCCGAGGTCCGGCGCTACAACATAATGCCCAGTAGGATCTATAACAACCTGATGCGGGTGCGAGGACTCCTGTCTCTCTTTATTTGGGCCAGGAGCTTCAAGAAAGTACGTGAATGTGTCACGTGCCTGCGAAATATCGCCAGTCTCGGTGGTGTCGAATGTTTGAATAGAGTGTCCTGTACTATAACGATGTGAGCATAACGGTAGAGGATCTGTATGAGGCGTTTAGGGCATGAAACTTACTATGCAGCAACGATAGCAAGGTTCTTATAGAAAGCGATGCTCACGGTCCCATTGATACCTTCCGACTTCCCTATTTTCTTCAACTCGCCACTTTTTTCGTCCAGTCGAAGGGACACAAGCCCGCCAGGGTTCCCTTCATCGGCAGAGTAAATAATTTTTTGAGTTGGGTGGACCGTCTGCCAGGATGGCTGGAAGCTCGACTGGTGATACGTCGAAACCTTTGAGATAGACTTATGAAATGGATTGTACTTTAGAATTGTAATATCCCCGTTGTATGAACCGACGGACAGTAGGTAGTCCTTGTTTTCAAGATATGAATATCCTTTAGATTCGTCAACGAGGTCCGACCGGGGTCGAACCAGCGTCAGGGATCGCACGGCGAGATGTCGAATGAAGTCGAAGCCGAACATATTGATGGCGATGTTGTCGTTAGCATCTATGAAAATCTGTTGAAAGAAGCTCCGTCGGCGTGATCCATTTGATTCCCCCTTTTCAGGACCTCCTTACATTCCCAAACCAAGATGATGATGATGATGATGGACGATGCAATGGTATGCATGTAATCTCGTTCCTGGCTTGAGGTTTGATCACTGTTGGCGGGAAAATAGGCTGATATAGCCGTCCCAACAGGGCAACGCATTTGCGCGCAAATCTCGGTTCTAACGCCCCAACTATGACATTCCAAGTACCGAGCTAGTCCATAAGCTATAACTTTCGGATGGAGTGAAATGGTACACCCTGAAATTGCTTAAAAGAGAAACTGGATACCGAATCAGTTCTTGAAAGCATTCCAAGAGTCGAATACGCTGGTATGTATGCGGTTCTCTTTGATCAGAACCCACTGTTGGGTAAACCCAATTACCTAAGCACTGTATCTATCGGTCTCAAATATCTCGTTTTTGGTGAGCTCCAGTGAAAAAAATTATACATTATCAATACTTATGTAAGTAAGTACTCATCTAATGAGTATCGCTACACCCGCTCATTCGTAACTTCGCGGCTAGGGGTATTGAAACTTCTTGCCGTGTTGTTAATGTAGACTGTGTCCGCGCGGAGCCACTTCCGGAACTATCTGTTCTTGTTTTTGAATCAGATTTTGAGCATTTCGAGTCCTGCAGATCTCCAGCCTCGGCCAGGTGCAAGTTTTTTATTCTTCGTTTGTTCTCTTCTATAGCAATGTGATATGGTAAGCTGCCGGACTGTCCACTACGTTCTTGAGGTCCGGTGCAACTGGCGTTGGTCCACCCGGCTGCTCCAAGGATTTGGAAGAATTTTCGAAGGACGGGTTTCAAAGCTATTTTGATGCCAATAGTTAGATTTATTATTGGTTTTTTTTTTTTTTTTTTT